CGTCAATTAGGGGCCTACTATATCGAAAGGGATTGCGTTTTCTTTAAATGTGCTAATTTGTAACAAAGTTTCCTGAGAGTGAAAAAAAAATTAGCCTATAGGCCTATTTATTAAATTCCCAAATGCTTTTTAATTCTTTTAATATCAGAATAATAAACAACCGGTCCCATCTATTTGCACTGATTTTTTAACATAAATATATTTTTTTTTCTAAATGAGAATCTACCTCAAAGATTTTTTTTTTAAAGTTTATTTTTTAAAACTAGAATTTCAATTATCATATCAGTTCTATTTTTGTTGATATTTGTTTTAGAAAAAAAATATTCCTAATTCGTCAATTTAAAATATATTCTGTGGATTCGGGAATAAAATGTTTCTATGTATATCTGAGTCACAATTTATCTGAACAAGATTATAGTAGCTTGAAATTACAAATAAAAAAGAACATTGGCAAAAGTATACTTTATTTGTGAACAACTCATGTCTTCTTCACATAGTAAAGGCGTTCATGTACGATTTATAAGAATGACCATTTTTGATAACACAAAAACATGTAAAGACCTTTCTACTCAACAACTTTTAATTTCTATTTTACTCTGGTAAAACTTGTAAATATTTACCAAAGTTTATTATTACACGGAAGTTAATTATTACCAGTATTATTTTTTTTAATTTGCGTTCAACATATAAAATAATTTTAGCAGAAAATTCATTTTTTAACTATGTAGTTAAGCCCCCCAAAAGTGTAAATATAAAATTAAAAAGCCACATTACCATTTAGTAATATAAACATATTTGCATAACACAAGCATGTCAAACAGAACCGTCGCTCGACTTTTCGAGGCACCCCTTTGGCGCCTTTTGGGTCCCCCCCCCCCACCTTGCATTGAAAGATGATAAGTAAGAAAATATCCACATCACATCTTTCAGCCCCTAAAATATCCGAGGCCCACTGCGGTTGTAGAGATTAGGGGGCTCACACGATGTTGATATTTATATAAATAAAAGCAGGAAAAAGATCCCACATGTAAACTCAGCCAACCAAGAGCATATCTGCCTGGTAGGAAATGCACTGGAGGAAGTGGAGGCCTTCACATACTTAGGCAGCAGGATGACTTAAATAGTGGATCCGAAGCAGATTCCAGGGCTAGAATAAGAAAGGCTAGGTCAGCCTTTTTACTACTAACGAAAATATGAGAGTACAAGGTGCTGACTTTTCAAACCAAAGTAAGAATTTTCAACACAGATGTCAAAACAGTCTTACTCTATGGAGCCGAAACTTCAGAAACAATTTCCTTAGAAATATCCTGAACATCAAATGGCTAAATCCATCACCAACAAAGACTTACTAGATACGACATGCCATGAGCCTACTGCTGAAGACATCATAAGGAAAAGAGGGATGTGGATAGTGCACACTCTCCGCAAACTCCAATATAAACTCACCAGATAATCCCTAACATAAAAACCACAGGGAATAATGAAGAGAGAAGCTCTAAAACACACGGAGACGCGAGCAAGAGGCAGACACGCCGCATAGTATGGGATACACCTGGAATCAACTGGAAAGGAACGCACAGGAACGATATGTATGGGAAATTCTAAAAAGGCATGAGTAAGAAAGATGAATCTTAAACGGTGGAGGGGTCTGGGGAGCCTTATTTTGCTGCCCACAGATACTACCATGGGCGCCCGCAGAAAACTTTATAGGGGGGGGAAGTGCCCCACCTTACCCCTACCTGCGGGCGCCCATATATACTACTTACCATTTAAGTGCTATTTCTTATTCTTTTTTCTATTTTTAAACCGTTTTTTCTGTTGTTTTGTTCGCCGACGAAGGCTATCTGCCGACACGTTCGCTGTTTTGTTGCGTTTATTTTTCAGGTTTAACCCTACTCTGTTTTACTCATTTTACTTTTGTACTAACCTGATAAGGTTGTAATAGCCATTAGAGTCAGGGTTTGGGCAGAAATCTTCCCCCCGTTGGGGGGGGGGCTTTGAGTCGCCCCCCCCCCCCTTGCCCAGTGGGTCATTTGGTCGGGACGTGCCATGGAGGCTATGGGTTTTGGTTTCGGGCGCCAGCTCGCCGTACTCGTCCTCCACGCCGCGTAGAGGCAACCCATCTCCGTGGAAGTACTAACCCGATTGCAGTCTCTCCCCTTATTACCCTCCATCCTTCTCACTGGCTACATTGGTAGCAGCATGCCAGGTCCATCCTTCTCACTGGCTACATTGGTAGCACCATGCCAGGTCCATCCTTCTCACTGGCTACATTGGTAGCCGCATGGCAGGTCCATCCATCTCACTGGCTACATTGGTAGCAGCATGCCATGTCCATGCTTCTCACTGGCTACATTGGTAGCAGCATGCCAGGTCCATCCTTCTCACTGGCTAGATTGGTAGCCGCATGCCAGGTCAATCCTTCTCACTGGCTACATTTGTAGCAGCATTCATATTTCTTAGGGGCCATGAGAACCTTGGAAAAGAGGCAAATTTGATAGCTGTATAATTAAAGGGAAAAGGTCCACGGCCGACGAAAAAAATAATGTGAGTAACAAGTTAACAAGAAATAAAAAGGGTTGAAAAACTCTTTATAGGTTATGGCTTTGATCCTAAGCCTGGTGACTTGGATATCAATATTTTTTTTTATTTTAAGTGTAAAATTCTATAATTTTAAGCATATTATATATTATTATGTTAGAATATTTCTTCAAACTCATTTTATTATTTTTGATATGCAGAAGCGCCCCCAAATATGACCGACAGACAAGGCGCAAATAGAACCAGCAGAAGCGGCCCAAATATCACCGTCCGAGGGGCCCAGACGTCCCTAATATCACAGACAGTAGCGGCCCAGGTGACCCAGATATCACCGGCAGAGTGACCTAAATGTCACCGGCCCATTGGGATTTTTTCCCAGTGGGCCAGTCTACCTCTGGTTTTCTACATTTTGACTAAAAAAATGAGGCATTCCTGTCTTTGAGTAGTCCCACCGACCTGGGAAAGCGGTAGCGTCTCCGAGGAAACTTGGGGGCATCCACATGGGGTTTGCCTCTTCGACTAGCAGGGTCGACTTGTCCATCCGAAGCCAAAAACCCAGGCTGACCGCATGACTCCCAACGCAACGGGAGCAGTAACGTAATAAAATAATTACTTGTTTCCGTTAATGGATATGCGGCGGTGAAACCCATGCCGATGATTTTAGCCGGTGAGAAAGCTGTCTAAGGCAACCGTTTCGTCCCAGCTTTTGTCCCGACCGAAAGACTCCCTGGGTGGTGGGGGTGGTGGTAACGCCACACCCCTTCCCCCGGAGTGAAAGCTCACCCGCACAAACCTCTGGGATAGTCGACTACGAACGCTTCAAACGCTGGGTTTTCGGTTGACCGGGCCTCCCCCCCCCCCTGGCCGGGGGGAGCTTCCCGGTGTGCCGCCGCACGATCTGGCGGCGGGGGATAATAATAATAAGACGTCTTATATAGCGCGGTACCCCAGGGCCTAGGGCTGGGCTCACCGCGCTGTACATCAAAATTTTATCAAAAGAGACATGATTATGACATTAAAATAAAATACATTTATGAAACCCGGCGTCTGGATCATGTGGGAGGTGTGCGGGGGAGGGGGGGGGGCATTGAGAGCTTGCGCACGTCGGCCCACCGACACCATTTCCCAATGTGACGTAATTAGGAGTCCCGATGTTGCACGGGGTAGTTTAAATAGCACGCCCAAAGATATTGCAGTCCTGAGGACTACATGATTATGACATTAAAATAAAATACATTTATGAAACCCGGCGTCTGGATCATGTGGGAGGTGTGCGGGGGAGGGGGGGGGCATTGAGAGCTTGCGCACGTCGGCCCACCGACACCATTTCCCAATGTGACGTAATTAGTAGTCCCGATGTTGCACGGGGTAGTTTAAATAGCACGCCCAAAGATATTGCAGTCCTGAGGACTTAGCGTGCATCGTGATTATAAATAGACAGTAGCGCCCCTGGAGAGGTCTGAGGAGTCAACATTTGGGTAGGGCAGGATGTGGCATTTGCCCCCCCCCCTCCCCCATGAATTTGCAGGCTTTATTTAAATTGCTATGTACTGTGGCGCCTCCAGTAATAAAAAACTTTAAAAGCCAAGTTTTGGTTTTGCCCCCCCCCCCCTTTTGATAAAAACCTGAAATGACGCCCCTGTTCACGGACAAAAACCTTTAAAAAAAGTAATTGTTTTTTTTTTCCGAGGACACTTAAAAAGGCATTAAACTTGTTGCAACTATCTATTTTTTCACAATTCATTTGCTGTCTACGGATATTCCTTCTAAGCTAAGTGCTATTTTTTTAAAATTTTGTACTGTTTTTCTGTTGTTTTGTTCGCTGACGAAGGCTTCCTGCCGTTGTTTGTTGCGGTCTTTTTTCAGGTTTAACCCTACTTTATTTTACTCATTTTATATTGTGCTAACCTGATTGCAGTCTGTCCCCTAATTACCCTATTTTTTTTCACCCCATTTTTGGGCCATTATAATCAGGATTTATTACTTTTATTCAAGTTCATTATGACATTATTCAAACTTTTGTGAAATAGTAGTTATATTATTATTTATTATTGTCATAAGAAGTAAACTCGATTAAGTTCCATCACTTTTCTCATTAACCCCCTCCCCCTCCCGCATTGCCATCTCGTACCCAATGTGAAAACGATGATTCCAAAAGTAGTGCCGTAGGGCTTAGTGGTTAGTAGGTCCAACATCTTAAGATACAAATAAAAATTAATCGATGACCAGTTGGTGCTTAATAAAATAGTTACCTCCCCTGTTAAAAAAAAAAAAAACAATACCCCTGCCAGGTATTCTTTCTAAGTGGTGGAATTGTAGCTTTGCCTATGCCTATTGCTATGCAATCAAGTGATAGTTACAAATTAGCTAATATGATAAAATTAAAACTGTAGTAAAAATTTGAATTTTAACCAAAAATTGTGTACAGATAATTAGAGATCAGACTATTCCGTGTTTATTTTCTTTATTTTATTTTTTATCTGGCATGTACTCGTAAAGTTGATTGTGTTCGAGGGTGTAGTCAGGGTTCTACTGAGCAGACGACACAAACACACTTATTCTTCAGAAATTTCGATTTTTTTTACTAATCATCTTCCACATCTAATTGTACTAAGCCTTTCGAGAATAATGCCAGACGTGGAGCAATTGCATCTTGAAGATGCCTTGGAGGACTCTCCTCAAGTAAGTGAAAATAAATCGGCGTAAATAATCTTTTTTTCGCCGAGGCTGAGGCCTAGTGTAGTATTACTTGTACTAGTAGAAGAACTAGTAGATTTTAGCTTATTCAGTTTTCAGTTTAGTATTCTTATACTTATATCTTATAATTATAATTTACTTAGGGTCATCTATCACTTGAGCGTCGGTTATGAAAAAAATCATGTTGGTCCCGTTTGAAGTGCTATAAAGCAGCTTCTAGGGAGCTATTTGTAGTAAATTATCAATAACAATAATAATAATAATAATAATAATAAAGTTCATTTCAAAAACACGCTTCATCCCCAAAGGCTCGAAGCGCGGTACAAAGTCAACAAAAAAAAAATCTATAATTAACCACATTTAAAACAAACGCAACACTACAAAAACTAATTACAAGCATACAATGGCAAAGTCTTTCTAGCCATTTCAACCCTAAGCAACACAGCCATTATGCATTAACTGGAAAATAAGGTAGACAATCATCCCAGAAGGTGTTTGCGAAATAGATGTGTCTTTAAATCGGTTTTAAAGGACTCCAGTGTCTGGTTGTGTCTGAAATCGACAGGAAGGGCGTTCCAAATTGTTGGAACAGCAAATGCGAAAGTGCGCTTTCCGTAAGTCTTAAGGCAAACACGTGGTGTCGAGAGTTTGCCACTATCGGATGAGCGGAGCTCTCTAGTGGGTACATAAGGCGTCAGCAGCTCTTTCAGATAGGACGGCGCCAGGTCATGTAAGCAATAACAATAGCTTCTAGAGAGTCTTAAGAGAGCTTTTGGTACTCCACCACCAGTAGCTTCTAGGCAGCTATTGGCTACTATAAAAGAACTACCAAAAATTAGATTGGTGTGCAGTGCAGTATTGACTAAGCTTAGTCTAAGAATTGGTAGTCACTATTTTTTTTATTACATCATTGAGGCGTCGTCCATTAATTATGTCAATAAAATAGGGACGAGGGGGTTGAAATTTTTGACAATTGTTGACAGGGGGAAGGGTTAGATTAGTTGACGTCGGCAATCATTTTCTCTATTAAAATTTTAATCTTAAAAATTGACTGGTTATTACTTTGACATTATTTTAACAAATTTAATGAGTGTAAATTAAAATAGTTATATAATTTTTTGGCTTTTAACAATATAAGATTTATTTAATGTGTGTCTATCTTTGCACTGCTGATGGCTGTTCAGAATGTTAGCACATTTAGTAAATGCAAGAGAATTCTAAAGTCTGCCTCTCTTCGACTGTAGATTCTATTTATCGCAAATGACTAGGGCAGTATGTTCGTGGTCATTTTACAGGTAAGGAACAAGGACAAGGTTCAAGAGTCATGTGCGGTCGAGATAAATGATATTGATAGAGTAGGAATACAATATTTTGAGAATTATGGGAAAGTAAAGTGGGTAACAATAATAACATTGCTGTTTGAATGGATTTGCAAAATCTGTAACATCCATTTTGCATCACAAGTCATGTTGAAAAAGCAAGTTCAACAGCACCGACAATGTCTCCACATCATCAATCCACCTTATCCTTGGGCGACCGGTGAGTCTTCTGCCCCTAGGCTTCTGCCTGTATATAATTTTGGCTTTTCTGCATTCTGGCATCCTTTCAACATGACCTGCCCAGCGTATTCTGCCTTTTTTTATCCTTGTGACTATGGGTGGTTCTTTTTACAAATAGTAAAAATCTTGGTTTGTACGTATTCTCCAGATATCATTTTCTATCACTGGTCCGTATATTTTGCGGAGGATTTTTCTCTCCTATGTGTTGAGCAGGTTCTCTGCTTTTCTGGTGAGGGTCCAGGTCTCACTAGCGTACGTTACTACAGGTCTTATGATGGTGGTGTATATTGTCTTCATTGTTCCCCTGGAGAGATTTTTGTTTCCTAGTAGCTTTTGTAGACTTAAATAGGAACGGCTGCCTGCTGTTATCCTTCCTTTCACCTCTGACATTATCTCATTGTGCTCGTTTATAGTTGCCCCTAGATATTTGAATGTAGCCACTCTCTCAAATTTGTGGTTGTTTATATTGATGTTATTATCAGCATGGAAGTTTCTTGACATTATCATATATTTTGTCTTCGGTTCATTTATATCAAGGCCAGCTTTGAATGAGGCATTTTCAAGTTCCCTGAATGCTTTAATTATGTTCACACTGACAATGCTTTTATTTTAAGTGCTTAATGGTTAGACGAGGATAATGTTGACTTGTCTGGTATATCAGTTCTGCATGATGAAAATGATAAATCAGCTACTATGCCCATTGTTACGATAGAGCAATACCTGGCTACTCCCTGGGAAGATAATAGCAGCTAGAAACTATGCTACAATTGTCAGCTATACTGACAATAATAACATTTCTACTTCCACAAACAATGATATTTATTAACGTTTTCATTGATTATGCATTATAAAATTTAGGTGTAAAAACTTTTTAACTTGTTAACAAGCTAAAGATGCAATAAAATGTTTTTCCTACAATTTTGTGATATTAAAATAGATCATCAGAAAGTAAAATGTATTTATATACAATTCATTTTGGGGGGTGGGGGGTGGTTATACAAATGTTGACATAATTACTTAGTGGGGTCACTGAAAGTTTGACAGTTGTTGACAAGGAAAGGGGGGGGGATTAAAAATTGTTGATGTGATAAATGGAGAGCCCTTGAAATCACTCTAAAGTATGTATGTTGCCAAAAAAATGTGTGCCGACAACATTTTTTTGTGTGTGTCTAGTCTCATAAATTCACTCCAATCTGATTTTCAAGACATAATAAACTTATTTTTCTTACTTTGTATATATTTTATTTTATGTATCGCAGCTTATGTTTTCATCTGCATCAGATTCTGTGCAGTTTAAAACAATGCTATCTGCATAGCTTTAAAAAATAGATAGTCAATAGCGATTCCTAGACATTAAATTAATTTTTGTTATGGGTGCACAATATAAATTGTTTGATTGTACATAAAAATATCTAAGCCTTTATAAGTTAATGAGGGCTGAATTAGTAGACCTATCTCCCAACAGAAAATCAATAAAAAAGAGGGGGTTGTCTAAACGATTGGCCTAAGCTTATGTTAGCATCTTTAAGCCTAATCACATTATTATACCGTTTCATTTAGGCCTATATTTTAATTTATAATTTCTAATCATAATTACCACACACAAATTTTTTCAGATGGATTTTATTTTTAGTGAACATATTACTTTGGCCTTGGCAAAAAAGAAGCTGGGTAACATTTTTTTAGACTGATCCCCTTCACCCTAGTCTCATACATCAACCTATATTTTTTATTAGGTCTATATTTTAAATTATAATTATATAGCAATATATCTGAGCATGGGGAAGGCTACAGCAAACAGTGTTAAAACGGGACTGTATAGTTAATAATTAGTTCCGGGTTGTTGTCACTCGCCCTGATGGAAAGAATTCGTCGCGAATGGATCTTATCATCCAAAATGTGTTTAGTTTTTACAATTAAATCTTTCTTCAAATAGTTCTTCCAGTGAAGGATGTTTAGTTTGTGTTATGTTCCTAGCTTTCTTGATTAGTCAGTTTATGCGGTGTTTAGTATCAGACGTTGAATTCCCACACCAGCAGGTAATACTGAAATTAAGTAGGCTTCCAATTGTTGCACTGTAGAATAAGTTAACGAATTGTTTGTTTATGCGGAAATTGTACAGTTTTTTTGAGGTAGAACAGTCTTTGGTTGAATTTCTTATACAGCATTTGGCTGTGCTCATGCCATGTTAGCTTAATATTAATGGTGACACCTAAGTATTTATATGCCTCTACTTTCTCTACACTTTGATTTTTTATGTTGAGATTTGTAATCTGGTGTTCCCCCCTCCTCAAATCAATAACCATTTCCTTTGTTTTGAGACATTCAGCTGGAGAAAATTTTCATCGCACCAGTTGATAAAGCTTGTAACTAAGTTGTGGTATAAGCCTTCTCCTTCAGATATTAAGCCAATGATGGTGGTATCATCAGAAAATTTTAAGATTGGAACGGTGTCGCTTGAGCTTTGAATATCATTGGTATATATTGTAAACAGTACAGGGGAGGGAATGCAGCCTTGTGGCGCCACAGTGCTTATTTCTCTGGTTAGAGTTAATTGGTCATTTACCTTGACATATTGTGGTCGATTTGTTAAAAAGTTCAGTATCCAAGCTTGAATATTTAAATTGACACCAGACGAGGAAAGTTTCTTTATCATAAAATGTGGTTGGATAGTGTTAAATACTGATGAGAAGTCTAAGAATAGCACTCGGCATATTTTTTTGGACTGTCCAGGTGATGGCAAAGTCTCTCCAACAATAGTGAGATAGCATCCTCCGTACTTCTAGAAGGTTTGTTAGCAAATTGGTAGGGGTCAAGTTTTTGCTGTACTTCATTCAAAATTTGTCTCAGAATAAGTTTCTCAAAACATTTCATTACAATAGAGGTAAGTGCAACAGTTCATAAGTCTTTGTTGCAAGTTATCTTATTTTTCTTTGGAATTGGTATGATTTCTGAAGTTTTCCAAATTTTCGGTATTGTGTGAGTTACATAAGATTTATTAAATATGTAACAAAAAAATGTAGGAGAGCTGCTCTGAGCATAGCTTAATGAGGCGACCACTTAATTTGTCTGGCCTCAGAGGCCTTGGCTGCGTCCACTTGTTTAAATAATGATATCACTTCCTGTTCAGTGAACAATAAAGTACCAAAAGATGAATTCTTCATCTCATTGTGTACACTTCCAAAGTCCAGACAGTCAAAACGACAATAAAAGTCATTTAAGTCGTTAGCAAAATTCTTCACGCCCTCAACACACATGCATTCACGCTTAGGAGTATATCCTGTTATTTCATCCGATAGCCTTTGGGGATGAAGCGTGTTTTTGAAATGAACTTTATTATTATTATTATTATTATTATTTGCTTTATACCAGCCCAACAACCCTTTGAGTTATTAGTAAGGAATAATTTTTCGATTTTTTCTTTGTATGTTTGTATTTTTTTCCTTGATATATTTTTTCCTTCAATAATTTTTTAGATTTAATGAATTCCTGATCGTTAGTCTTAAACATGGTCTTCTTGTGTAGTATGGCCTTCTTTATTTCTCTGCTCATCCAGGGATTGTTGTTGTTGAATACTTGGATGGTTTTTTGGGAATAATTTAGTCTACATAGAACTTAATATAGGGATTGACGGCATTTGTTAGCTCGTCAATGTCCGGGCAAGTGTTTTTAAATGTGTCCCAGTCTGTACTTTCCAAGCAGCCCTGAAGTTCTTCTGTCGCCTCATCTGACCACAGTTCAATAGTTTTTGTTTGAGTTTTTTTTGTTTTTAAAACTGGCTTATAGCATGGCATTAGGCGGACCATTGTGTGGTCAGATTCTCCTAGCGGTAATAAACCATGACATGTAGGCCTTTTTTATGTTACCATAACACATGTCCAGAGTTCGGTCTTGTCGCGTGGGGCAAGTAACATACTGGGTGTATGTTGGCATGGATTTATCCAGTGATAGTTGATTAAAGTCCCCCATAACAAGACGGAGTCTGGGTTTTTTGTTTCGAAATCATGGACTACATTCAAAAGTCTCTCAGTAGCCTGCTCCTTTTTAGCATTAGATGGAATGTAAATGAGGATGAAACAGATTTGGGTGAACTCCCTAGGTAGGTAAAATGGCCTTAAAGTGATGCAAAGTAGCTCTATATCGGGTGTACAAACTACATGTTTCACTGTACTGTTGTTGATGCTACAGTAGTTTTTGTTAATATATATTGCCAATCCCCCTCCCTTGAATTCGCCGCCGTTGATTGTTCTATCTGCACGGAAAAAGTTAAATTCGTCCAATGCCACTGCTGAATCTGGTACCGTTTCATTAAGCCATGTTTCTGTCAGGTGGAGCTTTCGCGAAATTGATAGAAATGCTTACAGCAACAATCCAGTTCATCTATCTTGTTACACAGTGACCTATCATTTCCCAAAAAAAAACAGGTGGAAGAAAGCCCCGCTGTCCTCTGTTTCTGCATTTTACACAAATGCCTCTTCTTCTGCCCCGCTTTTTTTGTCTCAGTCGTGAAGCGGTCGCCATTTGTTGTTGGCATGGCGGAAGTTTACAAAAATGGCGGAAATAACATTTTTATATTAGGCTGAGTAATTTGATATCTAAAGTCCATATTAAAGGTGTTTCTCACAAAGAGAAACACAAAAAGCTCACATGAAAATCATCCTTAGCACATCTTAGACTGCTAGGCTATACCTATGCCTATAGTCACAGTTACTCATGATACAGACTTATTACAAATGAAAGGGACATAAATTGAAAGTTATTTACAAATCTATGTCTGGTATAGCCCTAGGCCTAATTTTTTACAAAATTATATCTTCTTAGACTCGTCATCTTGTGACTGTCTTTGAAAAAGATGCAATTTTATTGAAGAAATTCACTCAAACTATGCACAATTTGTGCCAAAGAATTATGAGTGCTCAGGTATGTTTTATAAAATAATAACTTATGTCAAGGCATATTAAAAATATGATTAAATTTGATGAAATCTTATGTAATTATATTAATTTATCCTGAAACTTGTTTTATTATAGTTTTAATATTCATATTTTCATATGTTAAATACCTTTACACATACATGCCAACCTGCTGGATACAAAACTGTACAAGAAGTTGCCAAAAACTATACAACAACATGAAAAAATGTACAGAAAAATATGGAAGGTTAAAAAAAAAAAAGTATAATTTATTACTTTTTCAATTAGTTATTAATGTCTTGAATGCATGCTCATGCTCTCCTTTTTGACAATTTCTTGAGAATTTAAAGAAGCATAATTTTTAATTTTGTAATGAAAACTAGATGTAAAGTAAAATAAGATGACCGCCTTTTTACGATAGATTATCTGCATAATGGTGCTGAGAAAAGAAGGCTTAATTAGACAGTTAGAATCTCCCTACATTGCCTCAAAGTTTCATCTGTGCAACTATGTTTTAAAATGGTGAGGTGGGAGAAACTGCAATCAGGTTAGGTAGTAAAAGATAAGTGAAACAAGGTTCGGGAAACCTAAAATAAAAGAATGCAACAAAAAAATGAACATGTTGACAAGAAGCCTTCTTCTGAAAACAAACAATAGTAAAAACAATATAAACATTAAAATAAACACTGATCTGTAATGAGAGGACAGCAAGAGGAATGTGCGAGGGTACAGGCAATATGGACAGAAAAGAACAAAAGTAAGCTAACTGCAATAGATTGCAACAAGGAGGGTGTGGAGAAAAGTATTAATAAGAGAAGGAAAACATGATATTACAGCCATGTGTTGTCGAAATCCCAAAAGTCTTAATCAATTTGTTCTCTTAGTTCACCCTGGCGGGTGTATTGGTACAAGACACAATGGTGTTGATAGCCAGATCTCTGGAGCCCTTGTGTTAGTTTCTATTGAAATTGTTTGAGATAGGCTACCATTTATCTTGCGCAATGAGATAGGATACTGTTTATTTTGCGCAATATTTTGAAGTGTTAAGTACATCTGTCAGAGAAAGAAGTTGTAGTCTAACTTCAACTTCTTTTAAACTTAGCTAAAAACCATACAAAGTAAAGATAACCTGTACAGGTTGGCATGTATGCTTTTTTAGAGTATACAATTAAAAATAAAAATTAGCATGTTTATCTAATAAAAATAATATAAAGATCTCTGAGACCTTCTTTATGCTATTTACTAATTAGATTTATTGAAATAGTAATTGCAATATCAATATTATTATTTACAATAACGTAATCCCCGTTAAAAAAAAAAGAAAAGACCATGTCCTTAAGAAGTAAGTTAATTAGTTTAATGTAATTTTCTTTTTAAACCAGAATGAATTGTGTGCAGCAAATCAGGCCTTAGCGCAACATTTAAGGTCTTATGAAGTTCAGGTCAGTATTTAATGAAAATACCATATAATGGAATATAGAATAATAGAATAGGATATAATGAGGCATACTTATGTATTTCATTTCTTACTCCAGAGCAAAATGTAAAATCTGATTTATGAATGTTACATAGCCTACAAAAATTAACATGAACATAGGTCTTTTCTTAAACTAAGATAATAAGATTGTCTTACTGATCAAAATAAATGGATGTGTTTCTTTATAAATATTCATTTTCAACATTTGAATAAACATTTTGATTAAAATAACAATTTTAACTAAAACAGTTTTAACATTAGATGTTTATAGATTTTCGCAAGCACAAAATTCACCCATAATATGTGAACAATGTTTTACTTTCTAAATGACAATATTAACTTAAATATTAGTTTTTGGATTTTATAACACTGGGGAACCATGCTGGTAAATTCTGAAAGTTGAGGAAAAAAATGGAATTTCTAAATATATTTTTTGTGGGAAAGAATTAACCCTGATTTGTGTGATCATAAGTACCCGTGATAAAGTTCTGTGGGTTGTATCCTCCAAAATTTATTTGTAGATTAACAAATGCATTTTGGTTTAAATAACTCTTTAAGGGAAGGTAGTTGACATTACTCACATTCTTTAAGTGGGTGTGTTTGATGGGAAACGAACTCCCATACCAGCAGTACTTAGGACTACCACTAAAAATATACATTTTATCTCCAGAAATTTCCTTTAGAACCAGAAGATAGTGTTCTTTCATCTACCCTAAAGCAGTTTTCAACCTTTCTTGATGATGTAAGTTTTAGACAATCAATAATAGTATGTCATAATTTTTATTAATTAAATACATCATATAACATGATCCATATATAATGTTAGCCCCATATATTTTATTTGGAAAAAGCCCTAAAATGCCACATTGTCCATGTATATGCGATCTGTTAATCTTGTACTACTATAACATGCCTTCCCCCTGAAATGAAACATAAGGTTGTAAAACAGTAAACTCAAAATTTTGTCAAGACACACGCAATGGCTTATGTATATATTGATGTATATAAATTCAATACATTTGAATTTTGCTACAGGAATCTGTATTACTAGAGCTAACATAAAAACAAATGAATTATCATTCATTATATAAATTGCTATTGATCAATGTAAATCTCAAAATTTGATCAAATTAGACTTTAAATAAATTAATTATTTTCATTTTAAAGTTGTGATTTATCCATTTAGTAAAGAAGTAAACATGTTAGCATGCACTCGCAGCAAAGGGGAGAGCATTCATAGATTTTTCTTGTTGCTATTTTTAAATATAAAGTTTAATAAAAAAATCGCTAGGCGAGTATTATGCATATCCCAAATTTAAGTATAATTTCTCACCCTAAATTTCTAGCATCATAGGTGGTAATATAATATACTGTAAGAGTTGTGTGGAAGCACATATGGAAATGCATCTTTAAGTATAATAGACTAAATTAATTCTTTTCCTATGCTTAATACAAGGTAAGTTTGATTGTAAGACACTGTATACTGACACATTTCTTTGCATTTAAAAATAAGCCATTTATTATTGTTCATTTTGAATTTTTTTCTTTTTTAAAATGCAGTTCAGTTCAATTCAGCAAGTGTTGGCTCAACAATATTCAGAGACAGTGATGTATCCCTTGAATAAATTCCTACAAGCAGATATTGAGGGTAAAATATTGTGTAATGAAGGCATATTAGGGTTGAGTGGTTGCTGAGGGACACCAAAGCTCCTTGTAAGCTTTGTGTGCTTAGGGGAAAAAGTTGTGTAGCTGAAAAAGGTGTGAACAGTGGAAAAATGAACTTAGCTAATGAGGAAGAGCTTTGAGGACAACTAACCAGAAACTCTATTTTCAAAAGGCATTTAGGAATTAAGGTTCACCTTGACAGTGCTCAACAGCTTTTAGAAATAAAAATCCTACTAATGAGAAGGTTTTTGCATATTTTTAAAGTATTTTAAGACCCAAATAGCATTTGATCCCGAAATTAAATGAGAGTACACTGAACTCAAAAAGTCCTATAGTAACCAAGTAAAAGTATTGACTGACAATGTTCTTTTAGCTATTTAAATGAATAACTCCATACTGTCAGTGCAACATGGATTTGAATTTGTTGAAATTATCAACATCTTAACAGTGCCAGAAACTACTGATATTTCAGTAAAAAAAAAAGCCCTGATTCTGCACTTAAATCAACATCTTTGATGCAAAACAGGTAGTTTTTGGTGGAATTTTTCAGCTTGTGATTCCACTACCAATGTGTCTAAGATTTTTAAAAAATTCTGTATAAGGCACCAATTGGATCTCAAAAAAATTATATTGACAAGTTAAGCTCAGTTAAGCTAAGTAGACTTAATGGAGTTGCAGCACGGCTCCTAAGTGAAACACCCCATCTTACATTAAGGGAGGATTTAACTATGTCTGATACATGGAAAGGAATTAAATTTCTGTGTGAATTTGAAATACGCACAAAAAAACACACAAGTTTAAAAAAATTGCTGCTGCCTCAGAACTTGAGACTACAGCATTCAGAGCAATGAATAAAGGTGAGACAGCTTTTTAACTATTTTGCTTTGAATGCTATTTTTAGAAATCATGACAGTCTCATTCAGTTCTTTAGTGAAAAGTTGCAAAAATTAGATAATGCGATTGCAAACTACTGTCACAAAAATTTAAACGAGCCACAAATTTATTGTGCACTAGAAGTTCTTAATGATGTATTGAAAGAGCTGGCATCCCCGTGTAAGGACAAGTGGATTGAGACCAACTGATGCAAAGATAAACAAAATCAGATCTAACTACTTTGGGGCAGTTCCTAGCTGGAGTGAGAAGGTTAAAAACGATTGTTCATGAATATGAAGCAAGAAGGGATTCAATATATTCAAAACCTATTTTTGTTTTAGCTTTTATGGAAAGTGTGTGTTGTCATTTGGAAGACAAATTTCAAGAAAGTCAAGTTCAAAGTTGGGTGGCATTTGATGTGATAAAGCTGAAATTAGATTGTGACTATGTATTTGGAAATGAGGAAATCTCCTTTTTGTGTAAGAAATATTCAATTTTGCTTGCTTTGACAGAACCAGCTATACGAAATATTCAATTTTGCTTACTGTGACAGAACCAGCTATAAGAAATAATCAGTTTTGCTTGCTTTGACAGAACCAGCTATAAGAAATCAGTAAAGTGATTTCAAGTTTTATGCTGAAAGAAAAATGAAATTAAAATCTATGAAGTTTTTTGGAACTTGTGCAACTAGCTTTTCAAAGTAAAGAGTATGCTATTTTGGCAAAGGTGTTGGACATTGGTGGGATATTTATGGCAAAAATTGCAGATTGTGAAAGAAGGTTTAGCTTACTTAATGCCATCAAAAAAAATCAGAGAAATAGAATGGTTGATTTACATCTAGACATGATTGTGATAATTAAGAACTATCTTCTAAGTAATGGTTTACACTTAGAATCTTCTATCCTGAGATTTAAAACTAAGGGAAGTGCAAACTCAATTGTATCATTAGTCTCATTGTGTGTTGTTTAGTTTAATTTTTACAAATTAATTAACCAGCTATGCATAGCTCAAGAAACAACAATGGTGTCACTGTATTTAAGAGTATACAAATCATAGGATATTATTTTCAGTATTAAAAGCATAAAATATCAACTTGTTTTCTTAGCTAATGTCTATGTGCATGAACACAGCGCACACTATTAAATATTTTTAGTCAAGCTTTGCACAATATAAAAAATTTGCACACGGAGACTAGAAAAAATATAAGGAATATTTCCTGGATATGCTGAGCATTACACATCCTGAAAATATCCAGACTGGGCAAATGAAACTACTTCTATATATTAAGAGCCCACGATCAATGTATTGATCATTCTGGCTCCTACGTATGTAGAGGGATTTGCATGTTTCCGTGCCTGGTATTGAAGAGGATATTTCACTGGTCCAAGGGCTAATCAGCAAGGGTATCAGGAACTGAGTTTTTTAAAGGCCTGAGGCAATAGACACATATTAGACTCAAATGTGTCAAGTGTTGTCGCCTCAACTGTTCCTGTTGGAAGCTTGTTCCAGTCCCTGATTGTCTTTGGCTGGAATGAGCAGTTCTTGTACTGTGTTCTTTCTGTTATGAGCCAGAACTGCCTGTCATGGCCTTGTCGCTGTCAAGGGAGGAGAGGGGCGAGTATCTGTTTAATGCTGGAGCAGTGAACCAGCCCATTATTTATCTTGTACATCATGGAAAGCCTGGATAACTGTCTTCTTAATATGCGTAATCTAAAACCGGCTGGGCAAAGGCTTTATAGGCTATTAAGAACCCCAGGGTCTTGTTTGCCTCGTTGCACACATTGTTAATATGCTCGTCCCAGCGGACCTCTATGAATGGTAACACAGAGGTACCAAACGGAGGAAACTGGCACAAGTATATGGCCATGCAGTTCGTATTGGTGGTGTAGAGGATTGCCACTTCTAGAGACTGACAGTATCTGGCACTTGGCTGGATGAAATTCCATGTCCCAGCTCATCTCCCACTCAGCTAACTGATGGAGAGCTTGTTGTAGCTGGTCCTGGTCAGAACTGTTGGCAATCGTAAAATACACGTCACCTGCAATCTTACTGGGAATGTCAGTTTCTTGGGTAGGTCATTGATGTATGCTAGAACTAACGGGGGCCAAGCACCGAGTCCTGGGCGACCCCTTACTTAACATCGACAAAGGAGGAGCTTGTACCATCCTCCACTACTGCCTGGCTTCGGTTGCTGAGGAAGCTAGAGATCCATGTATTGGTAGTGCTTTGGATCCCATTGCTCTGAAGTTTGTGTAAAAGCAAACTATGATTGACACGGTCAAATGCCTTAGAGAAGTCCATCACAAGCACGTCAGTTTGTTTGCTTTTCTCCAGATTGGTCATCAAGGTCTGTGTGTTTAATAAATCAAATGTGCATTAAAAAAGATTTTGTTGGTACATTTGTTTAAGGAAAATGAAAACTACTAACAAACAGCGACAAAAACACTTTCGCATATAGCGCAGTTCTATGTTTGAAAATAATGCACCTTGCTCAACCTTAATGTATATATTATAGTTCTCAGTTTTTTAAACTCTTTTTCTCTAAATTTTTCCTGCATTGGACTGACCTAAATTCCAGATTATAATATAAACCAAATTAATAATGCTGACAGAAAATAATAAAAATGTCTGAACTACTAGTCAAATAGCCTTAATTTTATAAGAAATGATGAATAGAAATAGAAGTTTAATTGAAAAATACCTGGTTTCTTTATCCAGTAACTTAAGAATTAAAAGTAATAATATGTCAGAGTGCTAGGTAATGATATCCAGTTTGTTGAAGTTTGCATTTGAAACATTATTTGTGTGATAACATTCTGTTTATTAATTATTTTTTTTTAAAAGGAAAAAGCCATGAAGTAAATATTCTATACGGAAGTTGTAGGCTCAGTTTAGTCATTTATTTCCTTTTTCAAAATTACTTTCAATTTTTTTTTCAGAAATAAGCACGATGTGTGAAATGTTTAAAGTTGCAACAAATGGTAAATTTCATTTTAATTTTTGTTTCATTATTAATAAAAAAGGAATTGTTTCAAACAAGTAAACAAGCTTTTTGATCACATTTAAATTATTTATCATGAATTTAAGTATTTATTAAAATGACTGTAATATATACAGCTTGAATATTAAAATAAAACAATGAAAACAGATACATTTTCTGTTAAAATTAATTTTTAATGATCTAAATTTAAAAAAAAAAATATCTTGGTAAAATCTAGTGACTGGTATGCTTGTAATTAGTTTTTGTAGTGTTGCGTTTGTTTTAAATGTGGTAAATTATATTACTTTGTGTACTGCGCTTCAAGCCTTTGGGGATGAAGTGTGTTTTTGAAATAAACTTTATTATTATTATCACTTATTTTGTTGTATTAAATTTTCAGAGCACGAACAATGCTTGTCAAAGTACATGAAACAGGCTATGAAGAAAGATGATAAATCTAGGGTAGAGATTAATGAAGAGCTCTGTATGAACAGAAAAAAATTTCATCAGGTTAAGAAAATATTGATTTAAATGAAATGTTTTTAAGTATGAAAAGGTAGCTTGTTAAATTTAATTAGTTCTTGATATAAAATCATGTATCAGTATAAGAAATAAAGTGGGCTTAAAGTTTCAAAGCCAGCCTTATATATACAGTTGGTTAAAGATAGAAATTGTTTCATGAAAATTCAAACCTTGTCTTAATGTGATGTATTTAAAGAAAAAAAATGCTTTCTGAAGATTTATAACAGCAGCACATCTAGGAATATCAGATTAATCATAATCTTTAGCTAGCATTATAAAAAATTGTTACTTAAAAGAGGAAACAAACTGTTAATGATCTCATGATATTATTCAACATTCCCTAAAAACTATTCACCTCATAATTCTTTATTATTTTTAGACTGCTCTTCACTACTACTCATCTCTAAATGCACTCCAGTATAAGAGAAAGTGTTTTCTTTTGGAACCTGTGATGGGTTATCTGCATGCTCAAAGGGCTTGCTTTCAAATGGGACAAGATATCGTTTTGAGACCTGATGTAGAGGTATTTCTTGGAAATATTGGAAGCAGTGTACAGGCGTAAGTGTGGTTTTATTTAGAAATGTTGATGTAGAATTTTAGATTCAGATTTTTAAATAACTTTTATATTAAACACTGTACATGAATTTCAATATTTGTGTCAAATAATTATTCAGTGTAGTTTTATTCAACTTGTTATTGATGATATGAAATTTGTATGTTAATTTTGGCATGCTCACCTTTACTCAATAATCAGGGTACATACTGATATGGCAAAAGAGATCCAGAAAACAGTGGAAATTATAGATAATATAGAGAAGCAGAGTCAACACATGTATCATGCAGAGCCACCTGTTGATATGCCTTTCATCCCACCTAACACAAACCTTACACAGAAAGCTGGATATCTTTTCTGTAGAGGGTATGTATACTGTTTAGAAAGCAACTACATTTCTTATGTTTAACAGGAATAATAATGGAAAACAATGTACTAATTATTCATGGTTTGAAGTTGTTTATATAAGTTATTTTACTGACCTGATCGTTACTGCAAATGTTCGGAACTATTTTTTCATGTTGCAACTGAAGATTGTATCTTTAAAATATATATTTTTTTAATGAATTATGAAAATCCCCATAAAGGATAATTAAGTAATTCTAGCTTAAAATTTTTGTCTTGTTTTTGTACTACCGGTACCAGAAAACAAGCTCTTATTGGCACAAAATGGGAGCGCATGTATTTCTTTACTCAGGGAGGAAACCTAATGAGTCAAACAAAAGAAGAGGTATACAATTTTAAAATGTTTGTATTTCCTTAAAACACAGCTGCTTGTAAGCATGTTATTTTTGTATCGTATTAAATCTTAGTTTATATTTTGTGGTGCTTAATTTTATACTTGCATTGTTTATTTCATAACATGCTGTAAACAATATAAATAATTTTGCAGTAAACATTGCTTTGTAATGTTTATTAATGGTATTAACATAATTTTAAAAACTCATTCAGGTTTGTAAGAACCCTGAAGTAAGTAGATGAGTTCCATTTGTCGCCATCCCAAACCCTCACCTCTACCTAATCAAGATGATTGAACTGTTATCAATTTCCTTTGTATTTCCAAAAAAGAAATGAATAAAAAATTATAGGAGCCAAAATGATCAATAAATTGATCGTGGGCCCTTAAGATATAGAAGAAGAAGAAGAAGAAATGATTTAAAAAATATTAAAGTGTTAATGTATTCAAATGAACATTTTACAAATACACATTTTAACCATGCTCATTTATGTTGTAATGATGTACAATTCATGACCTGAAAGTTAAACATCTTTATTTTTTTCTTTTTAAAAAGAGTTGGCATTTATTCAGAAACACATACACCCTCGCTATTCCAAAAATTTGCTTCATAGTTCTTTACAATATTATAGATATTTAAATTTAACATTGAATTGCTGCTATTCTCTATTTACCATTGCAACCCAGTGACTGTTTATACAAAAATTGATTGATAAGTATCAATTTAATTCCAATGCAAGTTAAGTAATAATTGAATAATTAATTATTTTTTCGCCACTATTAATAGGAATATATTAAACAATTTGTAAGTTTGAAAAGGTTGAAGCAATATTGATGTTAAAGATTACAAACATTTTTTGTCAGCATTTGTTTTTCAAAAAATGAGAAAAATATCACTTTAAAAAAAAATTGTGTATTAATGACAGACAAAATTCACCTCCTTTCTGCCAAGTCTTTGTAGCTTTAAAATAAGTTTTAAAAAGTTATCAATTTTTTTAACTCATGCTACAATGATATTTTTACAACAGTTTGCTGGGAGTTTGGTTTTAGATTTAAATGAAGAAGGTGTGGTAGTGGAGTCTTGTGTTGCTGATGATAGAAGACATACTTTCCAATTGGTTGCACCCTTTTCCAAAAAGTAAGTTGAATGTCATGTTAATAAACTTAAAGAATTTAAAGATATAAAAATTTGAAGAGCTTTTCTTTCTTTTAAGCTGCCATTTATCTTTCTATAAATGTGATATTAATTTTTTAAATAAGCATTTTTATACTTTATCTGTTAAAAAAATAATTCATGAAATGATTACATGATTTAGAGTTATATTTAAGATTTTGTACTTTTCTCACCCTGTTGTGTTTGGTAAAGTTTTTCTGTCTTTTTTAAATAGGACAATTATCCTCCAGGCAGAGAATTATAGAGAAAGGGATGAAGTAAGTTCTCTAAAATTCATCTTCTAAAAGAGGACCCTACTTGAATGAGATAAATTGATAATCCTTGCTTGCTCTCATTCTTTTTTAATCTACTAGTACTACTGCTGCCTGACCTACTGGTACTAACTGCCTAACCTACTAGTACTACTGCCTGACCTACTTAACAAAAAAAAATAAAATATAAAACTTTCAAAGTTATTGTTATTTTAATTAAATATAATAATGGATGAAATTAATAATCACTAAAAAATGAATGCTCATTTAGAGAGTAACCTTTTAATTATAATATTTGAAGTTGACTGTAAATTTTCACAAGATCACCTTTGCACACTGCCCCCCCCCCTCCCCTCCTGTATTATTAAATACCCATGTTACAGAATTGATTTTAAAAGTCTGTTTCATTTATAACTCCTTTTATTGTTTTGCCATCTAAACTTGCTATACTTGTAGCCTTTGCTGGTTGTCAAAATAGAGCATTATTCTCATGAAACCAGTGGTGTAAATTTGAGCAGATGAATGTATGCCAGTTTAGTTGTCAGGTGCCCTGAACAAGTGTCATACTTGACAAGCCCCCCCCCCCCCCCCCCCCCCCACCCCCGGCATAAATTGCGGGCATTAATGGCAGTAGAGGGTTAATGTGCATCATTTAGAATTAAATGTTAACTTTTCTCCTTGATGTGTTAATTATTCTATATTATTTTATATATCGTCATCTTTAAAAAAAAACAAAAAATATTCTGATTTCTGTGCAGCATGAAAATAAATGTTTGTGGCCTAGGAAATAATGCTTGCGGGCAAAAGATAATTTTTTTGGATCGAGCTTTGACAAATATGAAAATAACTTTTCTAAAATTATAATATTCAGTGCTAATTTATTTCAGTGGATAGCTACTTTGCACAATATTATTAGAGATGGTGGCTACATAAGAGGAAAGCCAGGTTCAGCTAAGAAAAAGGTGAGTTTTTAATTTCATTGTGACGCCACAATAAGTAAAAGAAAATTTTTATTATGTTCAGAGAAAAATTAAAATTCAGCTATGTTGTTAATTACAATAGTCAAGTATTTGTCATTTAAAAATAAAGAGCGGAATATTGTTTTGTTCGTTTCAGCTTTCTTATATCTTGTTCTTAATATTTCCTTTACACAGCCTAAACCCTCTCCACAATATAACCCTAAATGGTCAGCAAGTTCAAAAAATTAGAATGAATGTTTCTAAAAAGTTTTCATAATCTTGTTATACTCATGAAGTTCAAGATGTATTACATCAAAAATATAAAAAGTTATTTTAATTACAGGATCCACCCAAAAAGCTTAACAACAGCCAGTCTTCAGAAAATACATCAGTAGCTGGTTCTCAGACTTCTGTCGGGTAAGTTGAGCGAGACTGGCTTTAGAAAATTATCTGTAAAGATACCACTTAGCTCATTTGTTAATAAATGTTGTGTTTAGTTCCTTTAGAACACAGGTTCCCAAACTTTTTCAAGTCGCAAACCTATTTTCATATAGAAGAAAAGTGACCAATGATTCCAATATATTAAAAAAATCCATTTTAATAGGGTAAAAGAAATCATTTAAAAACTGATTGTTCAGTATAATATAAATCAATATAATTTTAACTTGCGACATAAAGAGCAAAAAGTAATATTGTAACTTGAGTTTTTTGATAATGGCAATCTCCTTTAATGTGTTGCTTGCATTGGTTTTCAATGAAAAAGCACTCTCGAATAGATAAGTTGAAGCTAATTGGAATTTTCTGCTATTATTCAAACTTATTAAAAATGAAAATTTAAAATGAATATTTCTTGAGTTTACCATTTCAACCAGTAAACCTAAAAAAAAAAAAAATTTCAATCTCATTTTGGGTTGACACTGTGGGTTTGGGAAAGTGTATCATTCTTGTGAGGGTGTAAAAGTTGGTGAATAGAAAGCTAATCATTACCTTTCAGTGATTTTTTTCCAAAAGCATGCACTTGATTTTTGACTCATTGGCTGTAATTAAAAGCATTTATATATTAATAACTGTTTTAGATTTTGTGACAGAAGCATGTACAATTATTATCTCCCATTTGCTTTGATAATACAATCTATTTGACCTTTTTTTCAACATTTAGTAAACATTCAAGTTTTATTACCATTCTGTGGTCCTTAGAGTAAAGTCTGCATTTAGTCTATGAAGAAACTAAAAGCAATAATGTTTTTTATGTGAATCCCCCTACGGCTTTTTTTTTTATTAAACTTGATTTAAAGAAATCTTTAAAAATGATCAATTAATTAATTTTTTAATTTCCTTTTGAAAATTAATTCCCATCAAATTTCATCATAATATCTTCACATTGTTTTTTTGTTTTTAAGTTTTCCTATTTTATTTTTTTATTTCACCCTATTAAACTTGACAGTTCCACCCAGGGGAGTGTAACATCAAGCTTTTCAGCTCCTGGTGCTGCTGACACTTTGATTCTGGACACCTCTATCCAGTTTGATTGGGTTTCTCCCAGTGAAGAAAGCAGGGCAGTAACCACTCCTCAGTCAGGCCCTCCAAAGTTAGTAGTGACAGAAGCATACTGTTACCACCCTTATGAGATTAAACAAATCTATAACTGGTTGTTTAATCTAGGACAGGGTTTCCCAACTTATGCTCCCCCTTGGGGTGCAAAGTGGCATTCAGGGAGTGCAAGGTTTATTTCAAGGGGGTGCAAAGAAAATAAATTATAAGAACAAAGGAGGCATTAATTTTAAAGTTATGATATAATCGTTTTTATTTTTTTTTAATATGAACATTAATAGTAACATTTTCATACATTTAAGAATTCACAAGTACTTTTGCTAAGTTTTAGAGTTCTCTTTGCAATTCAATATATAATTAGAAGTCCAATATTATCATATTTTAAAATAAATCCTTACTTTTTTAAGGGGTGCAAGACATACTAAAAAAATTCGACGAGACTGCAGAGTATAGAAGTGTTTGGGAAACACTCCTCTAGGGGAAAGAAATATTTACTAGTGGAGTAAATTTATGAAATTAGCTGTTACTGGTAAATCAATTAGATACAATGCTGTTAAAATGAAAGACAGTAAGTGATCTTAGATAATGAATTAAAAAATAAGAAAACAGAAATAAATACAAGTACAAAAGTCTACATAATACACAAAATTACAAAGAAATGAAAAAAAAAAAAAAAAAAAAAATTGTCTTACACTAAAAAAACAAAAAAAAAAAAAAAAAAAAAAACATATAAAAAAAAAAAAAAGTAAGTGATCTTAAATAAAAAATTAAAAAAAAAAAAAACAAAAAAAAAAACAAGTACAAAAGTCTACAAAATACAAAAAATTACAAAGAAAAGAAAAAAAAAAAAAAAAAAAAAATTGTCTTACACTAAATAAACAGTCTAAACTTTGCAGAAAACTACATTTTATAAAAAAATAAACTACACTAATACAAGTTCCTTGGAAATGTTCTAGAATATCTAGTTAAAGTAAGATGGGAATGAATTTACTTACAATAATGCCCATCACTACTACTAAAGTTAGCTTCAAGGCAATGCCTTTATAACATATTATAACATGGTTGGTCTATTCAGGTTATCAGATCTCAAATTTAGTATGTTATGAGCTTAGAGCTGTATCTTTTATACTCATTGGATGAGTCATGTGGTTGGATGCCATTAATGCCATTATTGATCTGAAATATTATCTAACAGCAAACAAGCATTTAGGTGAAATTTGGGCTAGCATGCTGCTATATGAGCCATTCGTCATGTTAAATGATGTTTCTGAGTGTATTTGACACTTGCTTATGAAATATTTATACTGGTCAGCCGGCTGAAAGGTGTTTAGGGGATAGGATAACTAGCTTTTTTTGTCATAACTAACTTTTTTTAACCATTAATTGTAATGTTGCTTTCAAACAATAAAATAAAATCAATTGTAATTAAATTTTCCAATAAAAACTTTTCTGGGATCTTTCAAGTTCCATTGTACAGTTTGACTATTCTTTATGTGCAGTAAAATATCAAATTTTTCTTAATTTTAATACATACCTTTGCTAGCAGGCTATAGAAATTCAACTATAAATAAAGTGAGTGCAGAACGCAATATGTATTACAGCATAAAACTGTTGCAATTGTAAAAATATTATCACTTAAGTTGTAAATAAGTACAAAAAACATCTGGAGACTTTATGCAATCTTCTAACTAAAAGTAATATAATGAAGGTTTCCCATTTTGCACATAATGTGTTTTTGTAAAGCAAACCATAAGCTTGACCTATGTTGACCTTCATTAACATAATCTAAAGCTGAATTTAACACTGAGGTGTATATATTGGTCATTCAGCAGTTTGTTCCTTACTATTTGAAAACCATGTTTCCACCCTCCCCCTGGTGGAAGCTGTACATTTTGACACCCCACCCCCCAAAAAAAATTAAATCAGTATATTTTATTAATTTATATATTAAGACAATGAAGACAATAAATGACATCACTTATAGTGTTAGACAGTGTTTCCAAAACTTCCTACAGGAAGTCAATTTATTCTCTGAGATAGCCAATGTATTTAAGATTAAAAAGTGTTTAATTGCAATATTTAATTGGACACGTTTTGTGTGTGTAAGTTTGATCCTACAATGTTGAATCTTGGACTAAAGCTAGGCAGCAAAATTAAAATTCAGTCTTATTTACGGCATCATGGTGACCTTCTTTTAGTTCTTCCATGAAGTTGGTGAGTTGAGGGGGCAGGACATAATACCCTTAGATTTGTGCAGGTGGGGCATAAAACATGTAAAAAATATTGAGACATTGTCTAAAAGTTGTCAATACGCTAAATATTAATTTAGTGATATCTATCAAGTTCATTTATGAAAACACAAAGTAACAGTATGAGATATAAATAGGCTATATAATAGGGTCTTACTGACTTCTGAATTTCAGGATACTTGTTGCAGAATTTGTGGATAAATGTACATGCATTTTCTGCCCTATACACAAAATCTCCAATCTCAAACAGCGCGTCCTAACAGCATATTGTCTCCTGGGCAAAGTAATGGATTGAAGCCCTCTTCATCTATAAACTAATTAAGTCTTAAAGCATTTGGGGCCCAGTTTGGCCCATGCGTTATATACGGTGTTTAATTCAGACGATTTCATAAGGGGTGGGCATTTCAGGCGTTCAGGAAAGAGGGCAGAGCATCTTTCAGTGATAAAGAAATACATAATGTCGCCCAGGGCCATCTATGGCCCACTGAGGGTATGCTTTTGGCCCCAGCTTATTTTCGCCACTGTAATCTATAAAGTTAAACTATATACATACCAAACTTAAAGAATATACTTTTAATTACTAACGTCCAGTGCATTTATTTTAATTTTTTTTAGTAGGAAAAAAAGGGGCTGGCACTGTCAATTTGATTGGGGAGGGAGCAGAAATCGAAGGTGCTGAAGACTCTGGAATAAAACTAATGATGGGTTTGGGGAGGGGGCTAAGCAATCTTCCCCCAGACAGTTTTTGATAAATTCAAACAAAAATTCAATTGCATTTTGGTGCTGCCTGAATTTAACATATGAATTTAGTTTTGCATCATTCTGCACAGAAGAGATCCTAGTAGAAATTTATGTTCCCTTGACCTTGTTGTCTTTAAAAAAAATCCTTTATATTTAGTTGTTTTATAAATAGTAATGTTGTTAATAATTTTTAATTCAAAATATTTCTTTGCTTTCACTTCTTCATTAATAAATGAATTTTCATACAATACAGAAAACCTTCTGCTAACATCAGCATGCCTGTTGAATGAAAATGGAAAAAAGACTATAAATAACTTTTTACATTTGTTTGAACTTTTAATATTTCCAAAAATTTTACAGACACCAAATAGAAAGCAAATTATAATATTTTTTCAATGGAATTTTCATGGCTATTTAAATCTGGTATTTTTTAAATGTTTAGAAGTGGCAAAATATGTAAAGAAAATGCGATATTAAAAAAAGGCATATGTTTATTAATATATGATTTATCGGAAGGAACTTATAGCAGTATAAATTTATTCAAACTTCAGTAAATGGATAGGTTTATTTGGAATGAATTTCAAACTATTATAGTTTTCTTCAGATAAACTAATGAAAATATGAAGCCTATTTTAAAACTCTTTGAGTTACTGTAACACATTTAATACCCCCAAACCACCCCCTGCCTCACCTGGACACCTCCCCCTGCCTCACCTGGACATCCCCCACTTCCCAATTTAAATAAATAAATCCCTATATTTTTTTAAATTGACAAATTTTTCTAAATCTAGTACCAACAATTAAAAGGGAATTGATTTGAAAATTTAAAAAAAAAATGTTCAATTCGGTTTACAAAATTCCGTGTAACCTGCTTATCAGTGCACTTTGAAAGACTTAATATTGAATAAGAATATTGACAACTTGATGTCATTAGAAGCATGAGGTCCCCTAGAAATATGAGTAACCTAGAAGCATGAGAAGTACCCAGTGTCCCCATGCCTTAAGACGGCACTGATCTCAAAGCAATAACATCTTTCCCCCTCATTTCGAATGTAATGTATGGATGGCCCAGATATATGAGCACTTTAAAAAATTAAAAGCTTATCACTGACAATGTCAGTGGTTTCACTTAATTATGCTGGGTCTTTAATGTTGGTAGTTAGCTCTTTTTTTCAGTGTTTCATTAATAAAGCATGTTAGTTTTATTGCTTTGTGTTTTTTTATAAAATATTAACGATTGAATGCAGGCATGCAACATTGAAAAAAACGATTATACCTTAAATTGCTTAATTACATTTATATTAACCTTGAGAGAACATTTGTTTTTAATCAAAATTTGTATAGTCTATACAATGATTTTTTGTCAGAGTGGATAATGATTAAAAAAAAACTATTGTATTAACTCACTGTTCATCAATTATAAGGGTAGATAACACCTTCAATGTCAAGTTAATTTATTGCTTATGAATAAATCCAAGATGTCCGTTGTATGTTGATTAAAAACATTAATCTGATCAAATTCTAAAATAAGTTATCGACTAATAATATAATAATATTTCTTTAATTATGATGAGCAAGCGTGAGAAAATAATAATAATAAATTTTAGTTTGTTAAACTGAGAGCTCACTATCAAAAGACTTTAAAATTTACTTTGCTTATAAACAGAAAAAATATTTTGAATGTTTAAACTTCTTTAGAAAAATATATGATATACATTAATATCTCGAATAGTATGGGGTTATGTTCCGAACCCCCCCCCCCCCCCCCCCCGTAGTATGAAAAACCGCAAAGTAGGATTTATATATGTATTTTAAAGCTTAATAAACCCTTAAATTGTTTTAAATAAAATTATATTATTATCTTTTACAATGTTTTTTAGGCTACAAAAAGAATATTATACTGCAAAAATAATGAAAATTATAAATATACAAAATACATTTACTTTATACAGCAAAAATTCTGCGACATAGCAAAAATTTACCCTAGGAGAAAACCCACAAAAGAGAGGACATATACTAAAAAAAAATATATATTTGTATACTTTTTCAATCATCTCATATTTTTTAATTCCAAACTTTTCAATCCTATCCAGTCCAAGGTAATAATTTAGGACAAACAGTATACAGCAGCTGGGAAAAGTTCAGTGATTTAATGAAATATATTGCTTTGGCTCATAATAGAAGATGTATCAGCTTCTCGTTCTAATTTCTTGCATACTTATCTCAACATTTTCTAAAAAAGAGCATCTTATTTAGGTATTCTCATTTTATTATTGTTTTATTTTAGACGACTGAATCCATTTGATCAGTCTTCAGCTGTTGTACTTAATCCAGCATTTGACAATGCAGCTTTCTCTGAGACCTTTACCACCAGATTTCTGGGATCTATGGAAGTCAAAGGAGACAGAGGCAAGTGAAGTAAATTCAGACTTGGATTCAGAACAAATAAAGTATTTTTAAAATTCATAGTTTGGAAGTCATTAAAAAAAAACAACTAATGGATACATTTAATACTTAAAGGCCTTTTTAGTGTGAATAAATAATGGGGCATCAAGCAGTCTATCACTTTTTGTTAGTCTCCTTCAAATAGAACATAAGGCAGAAAAATATTCATTCTATTGCTGTTTGTTGTTAGTCCCCTTCAAATAGAACATAAGGCAGAAAAATATTCATTCTATTGCTTTTTGTTGTTAGTCCCCTTCAAATAGAACATAAGGCAGAAAAATATTCAGCAATGTCATTATTGTCATTGATATTCCTGGGTAGTCCCTACCTTTATGACTATCCTAGCCATTATCCTTGTTCATTATTTCGCAGGGGAGCAACTGGTTCATTCTACTATAAGGCAGATAATGGCCGCCAGAGCCATCCACAATATTTTTAAGATGACTGAATCACTAATGGTTGTGTCTAGCGAAGGAATGAGGTTTGTAAACTTAACACAATTTCAGTTTTGTTTTTTGGCATAAATCTGAACTTCAAATGAGATAATAATTTAAAACTATCGAATAGAATAACTTGAGGCTGTGGGTGGCAAATGATTTTTGTGACATGAGAGTGTTCACCTGGAAGGGTCTTTAATTTAAATATTGATGCTATTTAAATGCACTATACATTTTTATATCTTTGTGGTAGTTACGAGCACAACTATATCTTCTTTTAAATTAAATGATAAAAAGGAGTAGGAGTAATAGGACAATTTTTGTCATTTAACACATTCTATCCAAATTATAGCAACGAATAAAAATCATAGACCAGTTTTTTGCAATGACGTATGTCAAAGCTTTTTTTGTGACAATATATTAAAAAAAATACACCGTTAGATTTTGTTGATTTGTTTAAAAAGAAAATTTTAATGAACAGTTATGCAATAAACTTGGCTCCAAATTTGCTTCTGGATGACAACTTAGTTGGTTTACAACGGATCTTTAATGAAACAGTATGAAAGAATGACAATTTATTTAGTTTACAATGTGGCTCTAACCAAACAGTACGTAACAATGAGAAAAATAAAACCAAAATTTAAGGAAATACAAAAAGAACAATACCAAAGCTAGTGATCCTAAACTGTAACAATTTATTTATGCTATTATTTCTCATACAATGTACATTCACTATGCATAGTTTAAAATTAAGTACACTACTGAATTTTATAAAATATAATGGTAAATATTCACCCCCACAATCACTTACTCCAAGCACACACCATCATTCACTCTGTGAAGTCCCGAGGCATTGTCTTGTGTTGTCCAAAGGTGTCTCTTGTAGACTCTGAAACAGTCTAATTCATCTTAAATATCCCTCATTTAAGAAGGGTCTAGAAATTAAATGGTCATGTCACTTAAGGAAAGCCAGAGGTTCTAGATTGTGTATGATCGTTTGATTGTGCTAGGGAAGGAGAAGTCACAAGTCGACTCAAATAAATTTGTCTTTATTTGCATTTCTTTATTTTAGACTCATTGATCCATCCAATAATATTATTCGAGTTGAATTTGCTCTACAAGATATTTCCTTCTGGTCCGCTCATCCAGATAACAATAGGTTTGTTGAACTGTTTTATTGTTAAAAATATCTTATTTATCTGAATCATTTGTTTTCTTCCGTTTTAACTTTATGAATTTTGTTCTGTACTATCACAGACAGTACTATTTTATGCTCCTTTTGGTTTATGGGAAGGGGATTGTATATATATATACACACACACACACACATATACATATATATAAATAAGAGAGGCTGCATTTTCTGTCCACAGCATAAAAAATAATGGAAATTATTAGATTGAGAGCACATGATTTTATTTTTCAATGAACTATTTTTTGACATTTGAGCTCTAAAAAAATATTGGCAAAATTCTATAAATCCATTTTTATCCAGACCCAAATTCATAGAAGGTGATAAAAATCAGTGACAAAGTTAAACAAAACAAGCAGGCAAAAACTAGTGTATTCATTCCAAAGGGGGGTATTTGATAGGTGGTTGTGTTTTAATAATGCCAGGATAACGGCACGTTAACAGAAAAAAGTATGGGAACATTATGGAAAACGGCAGAAAAATTTCATTGGGGAAAGAATATCACAATAATAATATGAGTAAAAAATGAGATCTTTCATTGTTAAGTTAGAATCCTTGGGAAGTATATTTAAAGATTTGCTTTAATGCAGCCATTTTATGCACTAAAAGTGAATTCAGCTCCATAGCAGACCAAGTTCAATTAATCTCTTTGAATATTAAAATTTTAAGAGTATATAGTTTAGCTCAATAGGTCTTATGATAAATCCATCACTGTAAATACGAAGGCACCATATTAATGTTTCACCAAGATTGAAATTTTTGCTTCGCTCTGCCCTGTTAGCTGTTACTTGTAAAAATTTGTGCAACCGGTTTGCTGTCAAGCATCACATACCACAAACTTGTTGTTTTAAGATAAGATCTACCATTCTTGGAAGTGAAAAAAATATACATTACTAATAAACTTCAAATGCCTTCCAGGCTTTTTGGATTTATCACTCGTAATCGCACGTTGGCTAACACTGCTGCGGAGGGCAAGCAGAGTGATGGGGACAAAACCCAAAATGCAGCGCCTTCTTTTGCATGCCACGTATTTGAAAGCAACACTACTGCAGAAGATGTAAGTAGGAAAAATGACTGCATCATCACATTCATTTTTATCCCAATCTAGCAGTCACCCGGATTTGCATCCTTTGGTCCAAAAAAGAGTTCAATGCAGGCAGTTTTTTTAACACATCCATTATAAGTTTCATCAATTTTTTTTTACTGAAATAGCAATCTTAAATATTGCTGATCCTGTTAACTGTAATGTATCTGCTATGATCTACTAGTGTTTCTAAATTTTAGTTCAATGTCAGTTCTTTGGAATTTTGTATGTCCTCCTAGAGTCATGATTTGTTTGTAGCAGATCAATAAAATTTTTCAGTCTCTGAGTAGGAATCACATTTATAGGGAATTCACTATAAAAATTAGTCATCTTAGGGAAATATTTTTTAGTTCATCACTTCTGTTTGACTAATTTCAATAGCTAAACTATAAATGCTTGTGGTTTGAAATATTTTGGTGTCATAATTAAAATGTGTAATTAAAATGACTATGATTTTGCCGATTCCTTTATAGTGTTATGTGCTTGGTGTAAGTAACTAGGTTTTTTTATTTTCAGATTTGTCAAGCCATAAGCACAGCTACTAAAGTTGCTTTTCAAGCACTGATGGTGAGTGTAGAGTGTTGCATAGCTGTTTTTATTTGAAGCTTTTCTTCTGTAATTTTTGTGCTGGAAATGTAATGTAATGTTTTGTAATCTTTTCAATACAAATTGTCCACTTTATACAAATAGATTATAGAGCCAGATGCAAAATGACAAGTAAAAATTATGCCCTTAAAGATTTACATCAAATAAGCTACTCAAAAAATAGAAAGAAGGCATCACAAGTGTGTTGATAAAACGTATGCTCTTAGCAGTAGCAATTAGGCCCATTAGATCCACTTCTGCTTACATGTTAACATCCCACAAGACTGATGCCTTGGTGTGCAAATTATGATGCTTAGTACAATAACACTGACATTTTTAAAAATGAATAAACTGTAGATGAACATATAATAAATAATAATAATAAAGTTCATTTCAAAAACACGCTTCATCCCCAAAGGCTGGAAGCGCGGTACAAAGTAAACAAAATACAAATTATCTATAATTTACCACATTTAAAGCAAACGCAGCACTACAAAAACTAATTACTAGCATACAATTGCAAAGTCTTTCTAACCATTTCAACCCCAAGCAACACAGCCATTATGCATTAACTGGAAAATAAGGTTGACAATCATCCCAGAAGGTGTTTGCGAAATAGATGTGTCTTTAAATCGGCTTTAAAGGACTCCAGTGTCTGGTTGTGTCTGAAATCGACAGGAAGGGCGTTCCAAATTGTTGGAACAGCAAATGCGAAAGTGCGCTTTCCGTAAGTCTCAAGGCAAACACGTGGTGTCGAGAGTTTGCCACTATCGGATGAGCGGAGCTCTCTAGTGGGTACATAAGGCGTAAGCAGCTCTTTCAGATAGGACGGCGCCAGCTCATGTAAGCAGAAGGGCGTAATAAAATATGATCTTAACTTTTTTGCTAAAATAGAAACTGCCCTTTATTTTACTCTTTCTTTTCCTATGTTTTCTTTTATTAATTTTCCCAGAATTTAAATTTTATTAACGAGATTCAATTATTATTTTGACGGGCGAACAACAACAACATGATTTTAACACTGTTTATATTTCTTCTCATATTCTGTTTTCTATATTTCTTCTTCTTCTATATATATATTAAGGGCCCACGATCAATTTATTGATCATTTTTGGCTCCTATGCATTTAGAGGGGATTTACAATGTTTCTGTGCCTGGTGTTGATGAGGATATTTCACTGGTTGCAAGGGCTACTTTGTGAATGCTCCCCTTTCTTGTAGATTGGAGTGACATGCTCTGTTCTCCAGTCTGCTGGAACTTTGCCTGTGCACAGCGACGATTTTCAAATTCCCTGTTCCTAATCCATGGGTCGTGACCCCGAATGGTTTTCTCAAACAGTAATCTTAAAAAAAAATGATTTCAAATTTTAAAAAATTTCTTTGGTGTCTTAGTAAAGTTTAAATAGTTTCATAAAACCCAATCTATTGTAAATGTGTTTTATTGACTATTGACTTTTTTTTTAATGTACTCGCTTCGCAGTTCACATTGTTTCTATAAAATGGGGTCATAGGTCACTTTGCCTCCATGAAATGGGTAGCAACCCAAAAAAGTTTCAGAACCTGCATTTTAATGAAATGATTTACTAAAAACAAAAGAGCCGAATATATCCCTCCTAGTTGCCTCGCTTTTTAAAATCTACGCTCATTTCATTTAATGTTTTGCTTTCAGATACGTGAATCAGAAACTCACAGTATGTTTTTGTTTATATAATCGCATCTTTATTACCACCCAGCATTGTATGATCTACATTTTGTCTGTAAAAGGAAATATATTTACATAACTCTAAAAAATACATGCCTTGAACGGAATATTTCCTAACATTGAGGCTATTCTTTGCCAGGATAGCTACGAGTTATGAACTGCTTGTAAACTCGACTCTGATTTAATTGATAACTCTGCATGCACACAAATGTGTTGTTTCAAATTGCTTATTAGCATGACTTTAAACACACAGGGGAAGTGCTAACACTTATTAAAATGTTCAAGTCCTTGAGAACATTTGGCAAACTAGCCTTAATTTTTCATGTCAAATAAAACAAGCTTGGTTTTGGAACTTTTCACTTAACCAATGTCAACTTGACGCATTTGTTTTTACAATCTTTATAAGTCAGGTGGCATAATTATTATACTTTTATACACTAATAACTATAGTTCTTATTTCAGCATTACTCTTATCCTACAGAATATGGTGTCTGTGTATTGCATGTCCATGTTATGCCTAGTAGCATAGCCAAATTTTGATCTAAAAAGCAAAAATAATTTTTAAAAAGTCCGCTCCACAAAAAATAAGTTCAATTTATAATGATCATTTGGCTTATTTATGTAACTTTCAAGTCCATCAATTAAAAAACATATATTTTAACATATATAACTCACTCCCCCCAAAAAAAAAATTTGCCCATACTGGTATTTAATTTTTTTTCATTCTACACTTAATCAGTGAGGGACAGAAGAAAGGTAACTGAAAATTTAGGTTCCCTGACCTTAATGTGATTTGTTCAAAAGCTTTATTTTTTAGTTGTTACCAAATATTAATGCTTTTTAATTATTTTCATTTAAACTATTTATTTGTTTAAACTAATTCATTCATAAATTATTTTAAAAAAATAAGTCTAAATAAAAGATATCCTGTCATTCCGCCCCCTTCACTCAGCCCTGGGTACAAGACGTGTTTTGGATCTCAGCATTAGTTTTACTTCAATTGGCACCTGTGTTGCTGTCACAAATTTTATTGATTAACCAGTTGGCCTATTGTCATTCTCCCATATAGCACCTCTCTTTCTGATTTAGGCCATTCCCTTTTGATCTTTGCTAGAATTAAGGATGGGAGGAGACCAGCAAGGGAGACATTTTGGATTTTGTTAATGTTGCAGTCATCTTAAGTAGTGTTTACTTTTTTTCTTCAGAAATTACACAAAACATTTTTTCTTAAACTTATGTTGGACACAAACATTTTTTTCCTCAACAAATTGAAAAAAAAATGTATTTTCTTGAAAAGGCCCCTTATTGTAATTTTTTGGATAATTTTGGTCTCATGGGGGAACGGCTATTTCCCCTGCTCCCTCTCAGGCTATGCTATAGGTTATGCCAGTCGTGCTTGTCAAAACCTAGAATGAACTCGTATTAAACTCTCACTTTTTATAATCAAGAAACATGCCCTATATGCACTATACAATTTTAGAGCATGTTCACTATTCTGACATTACAAATGATGTAGTGACAGCTAATTAGCAGCATTAAAGAAAAAAAACACAAAGTCAAATTAGCATACAGTTTATATTTTCACAGTATGTTAATGCTGTTTAATCTTTGTCCTTAAGTTTATTTGATAGATTTTAATTTGACTGTACAGCTCATTTGCCTATTATCTACCTCTAAATATAGTATATAACATATTTAAAGATTGTTTTTAAAAAATCTTAAAATTATATTTATAAAAAAAGTTTCTGATGATATTTTCTGTACTTCCAGGAGAAAAGGAAAGGAATAACTCCAACAACAGCAGCTGCTCCTAAACCCAAAGCTCAACTCAATGAGAAGGTAGGAAAGAAGAAACTTCTTTGTCATTTCTAACAAAATTTCTTTGTCTTTATTATAAATGGAACTTAGCTGTACATGTTATTTGCCTCTTGATATCACACACATTTGACATTCATTCAAACTATCAAGTTTGTTCTGCTTCTGGTAATGTTTCGTTGCTACATCCATGTACTGGCATTTTTGCAACGGTTGGGGGTATGATGTTGCTATTCTAATAGCTCCTAGCTGATGCCAGGGCAGCCTTGAAGCTTTCGACTGATGTTGAGTTCACAGTTGCATCATTCAGGTTGTTCCATGCTATTATTGTTCGTGGAGAGAAAGATTGTTGATACTGAACTGTGTTGCACTGAGGCACTTTAAAGCATTTGCTATTGTTTCTGGTGTTATTGTTTATGGGAATGTCAGTGGTGAAATCAGTGTTCAGTAAGCGTTTTGCTCTGATCAGTCTACCCAGCTTCTGTGGGGTGAGGTATGTGCCTGCTGGGATGGCAGGCACCAGTCCCATGATCACTTTATATAAGAATGACAGGCGGAGTCCCTCTCGTCTGTCTTTAAGGGGAGGGATGTCAAATGTTGAGTGCTATGAGATTGTATCTGTTTCTTTAAAGACTAACAGTGATTTATGCTTATATACTCTTTACAAATGTATTTAAAAAAATATTTTCTACCTTTACACTATGTTTGTAAAAAAAACTATATATTTTTTAGATAAATACTCAACCTAAAAATTATCAACTATTCATGACAGAACTTGCTTCTGAAGAACATTCAGAGCCTACCAACTGAAACTGGGAACAAGAAGAGCAAAGCTGGTTTTGATGAAGTAGATTCACTGCAAGATGACCCTTATGATGACCTAAACTCACGTCTTCCTCTGAGTCCAGATGGAAAGTTTTTGATCCTAACAGTTCTTGATGAGCCACCTTCCCCTACCATAGCCTCACCCGAGTCTAGCTTGAAGCACTCAGAAGAATCCACTGGTGCAGAGGGAGAAGACAGTGAATCAGAAGCATAAAGTCTTCATTTTCAGTTATGTAAATCATTTAATACATTTTTGGAACACTGTTAGAAACTATATTATTGTTGAAAATAATTATGGCGTACTTCCAAATTTTTCTTAAACAGAGTAGCTTGACCTAGGACCCACTTATTACACTTTTAAGTAGCTCCTAAATCCTGTTACTTGTGTCTAAAGATTTCATTTAGTTGATTAAGGCTAATTAAAATAGACCCAATAAAAACATTTAAAAAAAAAATAGTTTCAATCTGAATAATTTCTTTCCTTTCAATTCATTCATTCGTCATGCAATCCATGTTTGCACATGGATTGACCAATGATATGAAAGTGGAACAACCTTAATAGATCTTTTGTCCTTGAAAGAAAAATGTTTTTTTTTTTAAAGTGTCATACCCCAAATAAAAATAAATCAATCTGTAGTTACATTGTAAACAAATAGTTCCATTTATGAGTAACTAAAAATATGTTGTTTTCCCTACTTTCTGTTATAGCAGTTCTAAGTATAGGATACACAATAGTATTAATGAATAGAATGGACTATTTGTGACAGTTTTGTACTTGTTGTTATTAAAAATTGATGCTGTTAATGAGTGTTTCAATAGATTTCACACAAGACATGAGCAGCACAAATGCGTTTCCATTGAGCCATCCATGCCTCATTTTTAACATTAAATTACTTTTATTTTATTGGATGAAACATGGAGTGTAATTAACTCATACATTTACTGTGATGTACTGTGCTAACTCAATTAAAAATGTTATTGATCTTTGATTATGCACATTTTAGGCGTGGTCAAATCTTGAATTCTATAATTAGATGTTATTGATAAAGATACACTACCCATTCTTTACAAGTTCTAATGGGTAATAAAGAGTTTCTCTGGATATTTTAAACATATTCAGACACCCTGAAAAATACTGTTGGCATTTAAAATTGGCAAATTCCAAAAATGATTGGGTTAACATTATGTGGAATCTTGTTCATGCTTTACTAAAAATATATGATTAGTCTGGAACATTTATTATTCAGCATTTAAGTCCAGATTTATTTATGTGTATGTGAGGACATTTTGTTACCTTTTTTACCAAGTTTCTTTCATTATGTATTTATTTACAACTAGATGTGATGTTCAAATCCTGAGAAATATTCATTTTGTTTGTATCCATTGTATTCTGCTATTCAAAGCCAACCCATGGTATCACAATAGATAAATATAATTTTTAAAATCTTTTGCTTTGTTGAGGTTTATGGTTTATCAAACTGCTTTGTAATGAAGTTATTAAGATTAAAAAAAAAAAAAAAAAATGCTTTGAAGAAGCATAGCTCTTAATTTGTGAGAGAAATAACAGCTGCTGTGGAATAATTTTTAAAATCTTTTTCTTTGTTGAGGTTTATGGTTTATCAAACTGGTTTGTAATGAAGTTATTAAGATTAAAAAAAAAAAAAAAAAAATGCTTTGAAGAAGCATAGCTCTTAATTTGTGAGAGAAATAACAGCTGCTGTGGATCAGTTTATACAGCAAATAAGCAATAGAAAAAATTTAGGCCAACATTAACCAACAATTGGATTGACCAAACTCACTAATTCATTTTGTTTGTATCCATTGTATTCTGCTATTCAAAGCCAACCCATGGTATCGCAATAGATAAATATAATTTTTAAAATCTTTTGCTTTGTTGACGTTTATGGTTTATCAAACTGCTTTGTAATGAAGTTATTAAGATAAAAAAATTTTAAAAAAAAAATGCTTTGAAGAAGCATAGCTCTTAATTTGTGAGAGAAATAACAGCTGCTGTGGATCAGTTTATACAGCAAATAAGCCATAGCAAAAATTTAGGCCAACATTAACCAACAATTGGATTTACCAAACACACTAATATAAAGACTAAGGAACACATTTATTATTTATAAAACTTGATAAATGATGCGGCCGTGATTGTCATTCTAGGCTTGGCCTAGTGAGCCACTCGTCAAAGTGTAGAACTACATAGCTACTCCATTGTCTCACGAAGACGGAAGGATGCCATATATATATGATAAACGTGCATTATAATTCATGTTGTGTATTTTCCAATTGTAAATGTTTTTTAAATAAGCTCTATTTACTTTGAATGATAATCACTCTGATATGAATGGAACAAAAATCTTAATACCCAATTTTAAAAACTAAAAAAAAATAATTAAAAAGAAAAGCTTTTTAAGTCAGTTTACTGCTAGATAGAAGTTATGTTAATTTTTTCTAGGCTGTGATTGAATCTACCATTTAGTTTTTTCACCTGTGTATATGCCAGTTTTATTTTAGGTTTTTTAAAAAATCACTTATAAATGAAATTGTTTTAACATTGCTAATCATAGACACCCACAGTACAAGAAAATGTAAAGTGACATTAAAAATTCAATATGAGCAAGTGTAAACATTGACATCCATTAAACCTCAATATTTTATTGTACATATAGTACAGCTTCCTTAAAAAAAATTTAATGGGTTAGGTCTGAGTTTAATCATCACATAGATTAAAAGAGAACATTAGAGCGAGACTTACTATGAGACAGAGCAAAACAGTGAGGATGTCAGATTAAAGCATTCTTTGAGTCACAATCTAAGCACAGAAAAATATAACTTGAATAATTTTTATAGATAAGTTATGAATGAAGTGCATCTCTGTAATATAATGGAAAGAAAAATTACAAATGGTTTAGTTACCTGTGGATTAATAACCTTTGGGTGAGGGGGCACATGCACTTAGTAATGGCAAAGTGAGAAAGCCGATCATCAGAAATATCCTGGTTAACAGGTAACCAATATAATATAACCAGTTGTGAATGTTGCTACATTATTTAAATGGCCGGTATCAGTTCATGGGTAGCTTTAAAATGGTGGATATCATTATACCGGTATGCAAAGAGATGGAATGAGTTGGCTTTGGTATGCAAAGAGACGGAATGAGCTGGCTTTGGTTCATTGTTCTGAGGCATTCGTTAAAGCTGTCTCTGATAGTATGTCCAATATTTGGCAATGTTTAAAGTTGTACAATTTCATGTTGAACATTGCACTCGTAATGCCGTCCTGGATGGTGAAGTACTCTATCTGCCAACTCCCCATCTTTTATAATTGTATCTTCTCGCTTAATAACTAAAGGTGGAAGAGGCTTATTCATTAGTGTTGGATATATATTTAAGTTAAGATTTCAAATTATATCCTAGGTTTTACTAGAATAATTTTTACCCTCAGCAAAAGGTGCTGCATTAGAAAGAAGATTTCCTTACATTTGACATCCTATGTGTGCTTACAAGGGAAAAGAAAAGCCTTGATGGTTCTTTATATGTAGTCCCAATTTTCCTATGTATGTCTGATATAGTTTCCCCTTTTATGTAAACTTTTTGACAGTGTATATATATGTGTATATATATATTTATATAAAAACTAGCTGGGGTAAGGCAACCACTTTGTGCATGTAAAATAGGACAAGAGGTGCATATATCTATAATAATAATTCCAGATGGCGCTCCATGTATCCACCATATCAATAAGCATATGAAATCAATAACCATCATACGCATGAATACCTGTGACTGTACAAAGCCATTAAATCTCTTTCCTCAGTACCTTCATTTTGCCTTTCTTTTAAGCATGGCTTTTAAGTTGTCATTTAGCGGTGGGTAATAAATGTTATGTTATGTGCATTTGGAATTATTATTACTTGTGTGCATGTTTGTGTGTGTGTATATATATACACACACACACAGACACACAGGTTGGCCCAGAATAATTTAAAAAAAAAGTGATAGCTTCTATTACAATTTAATATAATTATAATAAAATAAAATTTGTTTCCATAACTTTATCCATAATGGCTTAAATAGTTGACTGATTTACTTATATTAAACTATAGCACATTATTATTTCCGGTCGTCATCTTTTATTTTTCACTTTCCAATCAACAATGCATGTTTTTAAATTACATTTTTATTTTTAACTGGGATGAAAAAAATCGGCGCAGTGGACCGTATTATGATTAAAAATTTGCTAATTGAAAAACAATGGGATTCAGGACAAATGATAAATGAGTTTCCCAACAAAGCCTGGGGAATACTGATGTCAGTTGGGCTATTAAACAAAATTGAGAACAATGGTACAACAGAAGAAAGTGGGTGTCCAAAGTCTGTATGCTAGAGCATGACAGAACATTGAGCGGGTGAGTGAGCTGATGCCCGGGAATTCGAAAGAGAAATTAGTATACCACAGTTGTCTGGGCAATGTATGTTAAAGTAAGATTTACAAATTCCAACGTACGTGCATGTGATCGGACAGACAATCAACGAAAATTGCACATTAAAAAGTTATTTGGCAGCTACTTGAATGGTTTCCTAAACAGTAGTTTACGAAGCATTAGGTTTATAGACGAAAAGATATTCACTGTTGCCATGCCAGTAAATTCTTAAAATTACAGAGTTTATTCGGTTGAATCAAAGAAAAAGTTTCAGAAAGGAGACTTGTATGAATGGGGAAAACTAGTGTTGTGTTCCTTGAACCAGCAGCCAAAGTAAACTGAATATTATCGTGAACATGTTCTCGGACGAAGTATGCTACCTGACATTCAAGTGACTGTTACCATTACTGCAGGATGCAGCTCCATCTCACACAGCCACAAGTGCAATAAACTTTTTTCATCAGGAGAATGTTACCTTTATCGAGCAAAATGTCAAACAGTCCTGATTTAAACAATGGATTATGCCATTTGGGATGCATTGCAAGGAAAAATCTACAGTCTGCAAAAATTAAACACAGTTGATTGGCCCAAATTGGCAATAATCAAGGAATGGAGAAATCCTTGGCAGCGCTTTGACAGAAACATAAACGAGTTGCGCCAAGGTTTACAAAAAGTTGTTGAGAAGCAGAGAAGAAATTCTCTATTTTTTTTGGGCCAACCTGTATATATGTTCTTGATTTATTTTGGATATAATGCTTTTACAATTTTTTATGTTGCCGATAACTAAGTTGTCATTAACAATATTCTTTGAATTTATTTTATTTTGGAAAGCGCCAAATATGTCCACCGTTAGCAGCGACATTATAACAACAGGACTGCCAAATATGTCCATCGTTGGCAGAGACATTATAACAACAGGACTTCCAAATTTGTCACTGTATAATATTTACTATCATAAATTCATCTTGCTGACAGAATATGTGAAGCACTTCATCCAATGGGCCTTGTTTTTTGTGTGTGTGATTTTTGTTAAAAAAGCTCTACTCTTAACCTTTTTTTATTATATTTAAATTTTGGCAACACAGAATGTAACCGTTTTACAAATGAATCCCAAAATGTGACTGCAAAGCATCCAAAATTATACCAAGAAAGTTGAGTGTTGACACTCCTATTGAGAGTTGACACTCAATTGGTTACAGGGTCTCTGAATGTTATGCAATAAATTATGAATTTTAACATAAATGTTTTTGAAAACAAAATTGGGGGACGTGAATATTAAATGATTAAATCCAAGCACGTCTTTACCACCAAGATGGAGTTTGTTAGAACTAGCTGATTTGAATTTTTACGTCTTTTCACTGCTGCTAATAAGCAAAACTACAGTTGGTGTTGCTATGCACTGTCCAATGACTAATCTTGATATAGGCAGGAAGTTCCTCTTTTAAAGCTTTTGTCATGCTTTTTGTATTGAGTATTCATATTTTTAATTCCTTGTAATGCATAAATTTTGCTTAGAAATCATATTTTATGTTTTTAGATGGTAGCTTGTGAAGGAATGTAGTCCTCTTTGGTTTTCAAAAGAAAAGCACCCAACTTTTCATTTAATTAAAATATTTTTGGTGTCTTCCTTTTGTCCACCAAAATACTATGACATGTATAATAAGAGATGTGTGTACCCCAAGTTAATAAGATATGCTGTACCCTAAGTTAATAAGATATGGTTTTACCCTAAGTTCACTTTTAACTGAAGTTTGAACTGAATGTTATACAACATTGTAAGAGATGATGTGTGGAGCACACAATAAATTCTTATTGATGTAAATTGATAGCTATGTTATAAGCCATACAATTGTTATACTTGTTAATTAGTAACGTGATGATAGCTAAGTTTTTAAGTAAAATTTTTCTGCACAACCTATGCAAGCACTATAGTTGAATTCAATTTTCTGGCAATATAATTAATTTAAACACTTTTGTTCATTCTTCCATTGAAATACTTCAGGCTTTGTTTTTAACTAATTATTTTCTTTACCTTTAAATATGATTCTAATGATGTTTTAAAACTCTACCTACATAGAAAATATTCATGTCAAACTGTCATGGTCTTATACTGGATACATCTAGTAAAAACTGCTATTGACTCATCACATTTCTAGGACATAGTATAGCAATAAATATATACACAAATGGGTTACTGTAGACACAAGTTAAGAAATCATAATCCAAGTATTTATAGACAAAGCCATTAGTGAAATAATTGTAGTAAAGAAATCAAAGTGTCTTGGTGTTAGTATACTAGATTTTTTTGAAATAACTATAAATTCATTTGAATAAATTAACTGAATGTTGTAGATGAATATTTCTTTTTGACATTGTACTTGCCTTCATCCTATTAAATGATGAAAGCAAACAAAGTAGATGTCATGATGTAACATGTTATATTTGCTAGAGATACTTTTTGATGGTACTGACATATTCATGTCTGAATTTTTCAAAATTCATATTAGTGAAAGGTGAAACAAATTAAAATGAAGGCAAAATAAAATCTGTTGATGTGATTTTTTGAAAATTGTGCCACAAATAATAAGACATTTCATCCAGAATCATTAGATACGACTAACATATTATGAAAGGTTTGCTAATTTTTGTTTTAATAGACATTATCCTGACATTAAATATAAATATACATTTTGAGGTTGAACAAATGAAGACATATTTTGGACATAAAAACTGTAAGTGGTTTGTTTCAAATTTTTTATTCAGTGTGTCTATAGCATGTTATTTTCTGTCATGATTCATTTCTTCTTTTAGTCATTTCAGACTAACATATCTCAACATTGATTGGACACCTTTACTTATTTTTGAAACATTTTTTTTTTTAAAAATTACAAACACAGACAGCCTCTCAAACATAACTATTCAATAATTTGTTAAGCATACTAGTATAATGTTACGTAACTCTCTAAGCATGTAAGTCCAATTACAATTACTAATACAGCCTTGAAAAGTTGTATTAAAATCTAGGGCTTCCCCATCTCCTGTCAAAAATCCTGTTAACATTGCATTTGTGGAAAGTGCATCATTTTCCTTTACAGCCAGATAGAAAAAACTGTAACATTTCTCTTATCATTTTATGAAATGGTGAATTTGTTCAATAGACTACCGGCATAATTAAAAACAAAACAAGCAAATAATTATGAAGCTGACAGTCACATTTCAGAGACAATTTTCTGTTTAAAAAATGTGGCTTGAAAATAAATCTTGGTCATCTGCACCTCACAACTACATGACATCTTAAAAGAATTGCACGACACAACTTGACATTCCCTTAGCAGGCTGGCTATGGTACATCTTTATACTTGTTTATAGCAAAAAATGACTATAGAAATAGAAAATATCCTTTTAGGCATAGACACTGATAAAAAGACCACAAACTGTCAATAAATTGTAAATATGTAGATAAATGTTGGAATACTGGTACTTAAGTTTTCATAATCACAGCATTTGGTGAATTGATAATAGGTGACTTCATCCTTTTGTTACTTAAACCAAAAAAAGTCTCAACAAAACATAGTCAACCTAAGATCCATAACTTTAACATTTTAAGGTAAATACACTTTTTATATAACTGGCTTTCATTTTGATGTACTATTCGATATCTCATGAAAGGATCATTTAATCTTTTATTTTCTCATCAAATATCAATGGGATATTATTAAAATAATTACTAGTATTTCTTTTACGATTTCCTATTTTTAGAAGATTTTTTTAAAATGTGGCCAGCTAACAAAATTTTTTTTTTAATCCTAGTGATGAAACACTAACATGAAATGTGACTACACTATCAGTACAGATTTTAAAAAGTTAATTGGGGGGGGGGGGGGGGGGGGACGACATTCATCACATTATCTTAAAGGATTAAGAAATAGGAATGTTAACAATATTCTACAAGTGAACATCACACTTTCTGTGCTTTAGCAACTGAGTGGCCAGCCACAGACGGTCCTTTCCCAGTTCCACTTTCAGAAGCACCCATTTTCTTGCGCAAAATTTCAGCCATGCCAGGAAGACGAGAGAAATAGTTCCTGGCAAAATTGTGTTTTTGGGTAACCTTGTGGATGAAAACCTGACCATATCCCTGTGGAAAACGTGAAACAATATGTATTATAAAAAATTTTGGGGAGCTTCTATTAGTATAGGTCATTTTGGGCTACTGAGACATAGTTTGAGAGATAATTTTAGTACAGTTATGACATTTGCAACGTTATGTTCCAGAATCCGTCTCTGATCGGGAAGCGGGAAGAATGGCAATACGAATACTAAAAATGCTAATAAATGCTTAATTCTACAGTTTAATCCATAAATAAGACCCAAATCTTGCTCCCAATACACTGTGTTATGCAGTATCCGTTCCTATATACAATAGCAGAATTTTTTAATATTTTAAAATTTTGCAACAGTCAGTGTTCCGATTCCAAAGGGAATAAACTTTGGGAATGGATATTATACCAGAATAGTATTTTAAATAAAAAAAATTGTTTTCACAAGAAAGTACAGTTTTTTTAAGGAATTTCTTAACTGATCTCTTGTATTTGTATGTCTTTAAACACCCCCCCCCCCCCAAACAAAAAAACAAAACAAATGACAACATTACGATTTTTAACAAAATGCATTAAAACAGATTTTTTTAAAAAATGGGCAGCGACAACTAGCAAGGGCAGCGACAACTAGCAAGGGCAGCAAATACTACTTTCAGGTCTTCCACACCTCCGGGGGGTGGCACACTTGGTTAAGAACCACTGTTCCATAGAAATGACTCTGATACTGGTGCAGTAATTCGATATACATGGGAGGTGAATTTTGTCAAGGAAAGTAATGGATGGAGGGATTTTTTAAAATAAGTGACGGGGGTGGGTGAGTGCAGAGGTTTGTGACATTAGAGGGGGATTCTAACTTGTAATTCATGGATTGCCTCTAAACTAATGTAGCTTAGAAAACAAAGGTACATTTCAATTTGATTTATTGGCATTTTTGAGTTTTAGAAATCAGATTGATCATTTGTTACAAATGCCGTATTATTATACTTCATAGAATTATGACACGCGCTGAAAATTTCAAAAAATCTATATTGCTTTTGATTTATTTTTAACTCGTACAAATTTATTTGCCATTAGCTTATTTAATGCTTTCTATTATGAGTACTTGCTCAATACTTTTAATGCATAAAAAAAAGAACCCAATCCTAGTCCTACCTCTTCCAAGCTAAATAGCTTCTTGTGAGCTTCAGCCTCATCATGCGTTAGCAAAATACAGTTCCAGGGAGACCACTCCTGGTGTTTGTCCCATCTGGCCAGTACAAGGTCGTATATATCATTCCATGCACTCAAAACACTTTGATTGCTCCAAATATTCTCAACTAGGTAGCGGAGATCAAGTTCCTAGTCAGAAAATAAACAATTGTACTCTAATTATTCATTTAAAATTGTATAATAAATTATATCACTTCATAAAATTTATATATAGGGCCCACATTGTATAAAATTTATTTTAAAAATATAAATTAAAGTTTCAAGTGTTTAACTCAATTTGTGTAAAAGTAAAAATTGCAGAATATTGAATACAAGGCAAAAATACAAAAATTTGATTAATTAATCTTATTATTGACATCGAGATTACCATGCACAATATTTTCAATCAATTTTTATAAAAAAAAACATTTTTCAAATATACACAGAAGTTTGGAATAAAAAAAGAGAATACAAAATAAGAACTGCCCAGGTTTATCACATTAATTAAAACTCTTATCAAAAAGCATGATAATATATATTTTATGGCTTTTCCTTGTTTAACTATACATTTTTCCCTCTCTAGATTTTCACTTTAAAAAAAGTTATTCATTTGCTGTTAGCTTCATATTTAGAATTGCTCTTAAATTGTTTTTAAGCTCAAACTAATTACAAAAATAATCATCAGTGTCTGTTACAGAATTTTTACTGCCTCCGCATAAAGTATATCCCCATACTTCTATCCCCGCTCACCTGCAGTAGGTAACATATGCTGCTACCATCTTGGATTGCCTCCTCTGACTTGCGCAAGGCTTTAAGCATGACACGGTAATAATTGTGGTCTTCTCTTTGCCTGCCATCATTTTCAATCTTTTCACATCTTCTGCAGCGACCAACGTTGCTTTTATTTGAAGTGACAAAAAACTCAGTAGAGGGAAGATATGAACCACAACTTTGACAGTAGTTAATATTCTTTCGTAAGGTGCTTGGGTCTTGGGGAATCTGAAATGATCACCATTTTTAAAAATCACAAAATACTTTATAATTAAATTGTAATTTAATTACAACTAAGTATACCTCTCCTATGAGATTAATTTCTTGTATTCAGATTTTTAGAAATTTCAAGGAAAAGAATCTAAAGTTCCACATTTTTGACAAAAATATTTATGTCACCATCAGTTTTGTCATCAAATTGATAGCATTGTCTTTGAAAAAGAATGTCAAAATGATACCATATACACTCTTATCAATATTAAGGAAATTCATGACAACTAAAATAGAATTCCTAAAAGTGTGCAAAACAAACCTTAAGAAACCTTGCAGCCTCAGGATTGAAGGTAGGTGTCTTGATATATTGTAAGAAAAGGGTAGAAATCCTCTTTCGTAGTCCGTTTAGATTGACTTCTTTGACGCCTCTCATCAATAGATCTGCCTCACGATCAATGAGTTCTGTGATCTCCTGGGTCAGTTTGCAGTCATGTTCCTAGTATACAGTTCAAATATTTTACTTTTTTTTGTCTCTATATCAGCTACTTTCTTATTTAACTGACTGAATGACATTTAATAAATAACAGAATGTTTAAAAAAAAAAAAAGATTGTTAAATTATATTATCTGATTAGCTACCAGATTGAAAAACCGCTGTGGCCGAATTAAATCTAGGTCAAGTTTACTACCAGCGGCTCCGGGCCTAACAAAAGAAACGCCCAGCCGCTCCCACCGGCTCATGGTAGTTAACCAGTTATGTGACAGACCCAAACAGTAATTATGACATACTTACTAATCTTACCAAAATCATTATACAGTCATACTTAATTTACTTTTTAAAGAAGACAAAATGTTTAACCAAATATGTTTCCTGCACCTATTTCAAAACTACTAATTTTGTCTGTATCTAATAATCTTGAGGCTTGCTGATATCACTTGCCAGTTTTTTCAACAGAATAAAGGAATAATATAAGGGACAGTGTTTAAGACATGTGAAGGAAATAGTAGAACAAGACATGTTTAGCCTTGAAATGAAAAAGACAGGGATAATTAATATTATGGCTAGATGCCTTCTTCAGCAGACAAGACAAAATAAGAAACAACAAAGAATTATAATATAAATACAAAAAACTTATGTGTTGAAGATCTCAATTTTGGATATGAAAGTGCTCTATTTGTATCCACAGCTTTCTAAATAAACTGCATTTAAAGATTAACATTCTGTGTTGTTAACCTTGACTGTGTGTTTTAGTGTCAATAAAACATCCAATCGTTCATCTTGAGTCAGATATTTCATATTGATGCTGTTGTAGATGTCTCTCAGCTCCTTTGCTCTCACAGTGTAGGGTGTATCCATGAAGGTCAGTTTACCATCATGACCAGCCCACTTTTTTGGTGCAGCCGCCTGTAAACAAAATATACACATGATAACAGACTCTAAATGATTTTAGTTGGGACATCAAACCATTTATCTTTCTTTGTTCTTTCTGATCCTTTATAGATTCCAGACAGCTGTTAAATGTTTAAGTGCAATAGTGAAATATATAATTGTGGCTTGTTAAATAAATTATTCATGATTTTTTTTAGACCAGAGAGAAATCATGTAAGTTTGCCTGTTTTCTTGTATTTGGGTCACCTTGAGAATCCAAGCCCCTTACCAAGTTATAACTGTAAACTTGTAATGCTATTAATGAATACAAAATTAGTATCAAAGTATTCATTACCTTTTCTAGAAATGCCATAATGCGCTTGTCTCTGTTTTCAAGGTTGGCCTCATTTTTGTGGCGCTCAATTGCTGACAAGAGTTCTGTCTCTTGATCCAAAAGCATACAAATGGCTGCCTTCCGCTCTGCTCCTGTCAGAGTTGAGTTGATTCTTTCCATTTCTTCTACTCGCCACTCTAGAAGAAACAGATAAAATAAAAAAAAATGATTGTAACTTGAAATATGAATCTAGTAAACTAACTAAATGAATATCTTCTTTTTAATAAAAGTTTGAGAAAATCTTAGCTTGACAGTTTATGAAATAATTAATTATTTTAGGTCAAGGAGTATCATTTCAGAATTCCAAAAATAAGAAATGTTTACCCTGTGTTGACAAGATAAGCATGCTAGATATAAATTTCAAAAGTATCTTATAGGCTAACAATTATTTAGTTCCATCTGTGTTGAACAGATAAGTTTATATTTTTATTGTATCACTGAAGACTTACACTTTAAACTTACTCTCTAGACAATGAAGCAGCATATCAAAGTCAGACTTTGATTGTGGATTTATCCTCCTGGCGTATTCCCTCTTGATGCGCTCTTCTTTTTCTTTCTTTTTACGTAACTCTTCCCGACGTTCCCAAAGCAATCTTTTTTCCTTGTCCTCCTTTAATTTCTTAACATAACGTTTGGCTAGCCATCGACGGAAGTTCTTTTGTAAGATAATAACCTGAATATTTTTATAAATCGGAATTATTTTTGAAAACTTGTCAAATTAATTTTGAATAGCGTTTAATTCAGTAAACAAATAATCCATAATTTAATTGCTGAATTGACTGGACTACTTCCTTTCAACAGTTCCCTCGATTTAAAAAAAATTGGCTATTCTCATAAAGGTTTTCAAGAACTTACTTTACTAAGAACAATCGCTGCACGTTCATCTGCAGTTTGATATTGTCCTGGTTCTAACAGCTTGTCTTCTGCATTTGAAACATAGAACCCTACTCCAGTCATCTGAGTGCTGGTAGTATTGCAGGTTTGTTGAAGCTATTCAGTTTGCAGAGTTGAAAATATGAATAAATGAAATAAGAGAGCAAGGTTGCTATAACTGTTACTGAAATTTACAACAAATTGGTTGTAATCTTTAAAATGCAATAAAAATTTAATTACATAAAAGTTTAGGTCAAGTTTGCAAACTTAACATTGTTAAATTATTATATATTATGAAAAACTGGAATATTAAGGATTATCAATTTGAAAAATGTTAACGCTGCTTTATGACAAGATAATCTCCATTTGTTTTAGGATTTTTTAAGAGCAATTTTCTTCATTTGGTTGTTAAACATAAAACACAACATCCTATATATTAGATTTACAATCATAATTTAACTTGGCAATAACAATATTATTTTACCATGTTCTTTTGTTCACAGGTCTGAGTATCTCTACAAAACCTTTCCTGAGTGGGAGGTGGTCTCTGTTTCTGCATCGTCTGGGCTGAGGCATTATGGAACTCTACACCTGTGTTCTTGTTTCTAAAGCCTCCTAAAAACGGCTTTTTGGTCCTTGACCTTTCAATTTCTACCACAACATCTTTTGTTGCACAATCTTCTGCTCAAAATGAAAAAATTTCTCATTTTACAAACAAGACATGGCAAAGATTATGTTCATAATTGTATTGAGGTTCAAGAAAGTGATTTTCAATTATATCTGATTGCATACATTTGGACAAAGTTTTTTTTATTTGAGACCAGTTATCTAATAAAATTTAGCTATACCATAAAACATTAGATGTTGATTTGATGGACTATTTAGCTATACAACAGAACACTAGTGGTTGATTTGATACCATAGAACACTAGTGGTTGATTTGATACCGTAGACTGTAGAACACTAGTGGTTTATTTGATGGATTTTTTAAAATCATGTGTTTGATTGAACCTAATTTAAAAGCCATTTTATGTAGTGAAAAGCAACAATTTTAAAGAAGTTTCTGTGGAAAATTTAACATATTCTTTTGTTTACATTATTTTCTCAACTGAATTCAAAACATCTATTTATATAATACTCAATATTCAGGTAGTAAAAAATTTATAAAAGACAAGGGGATTTTATTTTAAAGTACTTTATTCCCAAAAGAGTTAAGATAACCGCTAAACTGACCAGTCATGACTCTGACTGTTATAACATCAGGCATGTGGTACTCTTGACGAGGCCTGTAAGGTTTGAGTGGTGTATTCACTGGGTCAGCTGACTGTATCTCCAGCTGTACTGTCCCATTGGGTCCCACCCCAAGGTCAGCTAGTGTTGTTGTATTAGCCATAGATTTCCCTATTAGCGGACATCATAAACATTTTATTGAAACATTGGTCATTATCAACATTTTATATTCCTTAAATCATCTTTAAGTATTTGAATATGTGTGTTTTTGTAGCAGCTCACACCATAAACCCTTTTTTTTGTTAAGTAGAGCCACAAGCTGTTAATATTTTTAAAATAGTGTGTTATTTTTTGTTGATTTTAAATTTAGGCTAATCTCTGTATAAAGATACACCTTAGTCTAATTTAAATGGTTAAATTACTACTATTATCTCACTTAACCATTTTACTAAAATATATAATATGAAAAGTTTTGTCATTAAATTGGTAATATTTAAAAAAACAACTCTTACCATCAAAAATAAGCATGATTAGAGATGATGGCATCTTCAACTCATATGCAAAATGGGTTTTTAAAGCCTCCAATGTCTGTCCTAATGTACAGGCTAGGGTGACAACTTGGCCACTAGGCATCATCACAAATTTCACTAAAATCAAATTTTAATTATTTAAGAATACATAATAAAGGTATTAATCTATTTTAAAAAGAAATAATAAATTTGAATATAGCAAAGTATATTTGAACGTATATTTCTTTAACTTAAGATTAGATAAATCTGTAAGATACCTGTAACTGTAGCATCCAGATTTACATGATATGTAGCTTCCATTGGTTCAACCTTTTGTGCATCTGGCTGGCTTGCTCTCACCTCTGTGCCCACTGCATTATCTGACATATTCTGTTCTTGTTCTGTATGGGCAATTATGATTATTTAAAACAATGTTTAACGCACTTGTTTCGTAACATATTTATAATTTATCAATGCATTAAATATATACAGTTATTTAAATTTTGATTTTCCAGTAACAACGGGGCTTACCTATTTCTGCCTCAATTCTTCTTTCATCTGATTTTTGAGATGTAGGACTCTTGGCATCCTAAATAAGTAAATTGAAATGATAATACTTCATCATCTACATAAATAAGTTATTGATGATAAAAAATAATACTTTTGTATCAAGGAGTTCTGCAAAAGGGATTTGTATTTAAAATTTAAAGGTTTAATTTCTAATGTTTGTAAAGTTAAGATACACAAAAAATATGTTGATTTTCTTCATTTAAAAGAGGTATTAAATCTGTTAGTAGATTGCTTTGAAAATTATTTGAATAGGCCTCTATTTTCTAGCAAGAGAATGATTATGATTATTACAGTAGAGAGCCAATTTGTCCTATGCTTATTATCTGAAACATTATTACTACAGTCGAGAGTCAATTTTCAAATGCTTATTATCATTGGTTATCTGAACTGACCTTGTCTTTTATAATAATTATAATTATATATATACATTTGTTTTGTTTCATTTAATTAATGTATGTCAACTAATTATTTCAGATTTTTATTATGTTTGTTAAATTGTATGTACAGCGTGGTGAGCCCTGCCCTAGGCTGGGGTACCACACTATTTAAAACCACGTATAATAATAATAATTATTATTATAGCATGGAATGCATTTGGCATGGAGCAGTTTTTTGTAAAAAAAAAAGTAAACAATTTTTTTCACCCCTTGATGCACAATCTGAGTGAAATATGTAACTTAGCATACATGTAATGACCAGACACTGGGTGACCATACACTAATAATGTACTCTGCAAATTCGTTATTTAATATATGATGCAGAATTTATGCTTGCATTGATAAGCTGACTTCATTAATTTATTTTTAGAAAAAACATCTTAGACAAAACAAAAACTCCAGTCCTCATTGTTTTTTTAATCATGAATCAGTGCTGTTTTCAGTGTAAAATAAAGCTCATAAGTGTATAAAAGAGCCAGAAATATATGCACTAATTAAATTCATTAATTCAACCTTTCTGTGTTTGGTTATTTGAAACACATATTGTACCAAATAATTTTAAAAATTGATGCATAATGTATACTGTATTTGTCTTTTAAAAATGACATTTATTTATAAAATATAGAAAAAAACTAAACTATCATAAAATGTAAATTGGCGTTACCTCTTCTCTTGTATCATCTTTGTTATAGTTAACATCCATCTTTTCTTCATCAACAAGTTCGTGTCCTTCTGAATCATGTAAACTTTGCCTTTCCTTAACTTCTTCTTTTCCAGTCTGCTCTTTATCTTGATTATCCACTAAGATATCCTCCTCTTGCACTTCGTCTTCATAATTATTTTCTTGTGGTCTTTCTCCCTCATCTTCTTTATCTCCATTATTTTGAATTTTCTCTTCTCCATAACTCTTTTCTTCTTCTTCATTTAGCTCCAGAACATGTTCTTCTTTTGTACCCATTTCTTCCCTTAGACTATCTTGTAAAGTTCCTTCTCCATTCTCCACATAAACATCAAAATCTTCTGCCTGCTCTTGTTTATTGAGGTCTTCTTCATTTTCATCATTAATTTCTGTTTGTAAAATTTCATTGAAGTCAGTTGATGGGGCCTCTGGTTCTTGATCTGCCATACTTAACAGATAAAATGAATGAAATAATTCTATAAAGTATTAAAAGGCTTGGCAAATTTTGGGCTAACGGTATGGGTTTGATCAAGAGTTTTCTCACTTTAAGCCCAGTGAAGTCACTTTGAGGAATCCCAGCACTGATATACCAATTGTTGGACCTGAATGATGTGTTTGATAACTTTCCTTTTCTTCACTGAGCATTACTTGCATCATAAACTAAACCTGACAACCGATACAGTTAATATGAAGTATATTAAAATGATATTTTCCATTACTTTTTTTTTTTTTATTAAAGTTCAACTTAAAGTTTCAAAAGAAATGAAAAAAGAAACACATCCATGCTGATACTCCAATACCAATACTGGTTTTTAAAAAAATGTGCGTTAAAATTGCTATTTTTGGTTAGTTGAAAACTGAAGTACCTGTATGCTAAAACTTCAGTATCAAAAGGAAGACTACTACTTAATTTTATTGGAAATGGGTGTCGGAGCCATAGCTTAGGACATATTTGTAAACTTGAAGGCATTTAAACCGGAAAATTTTCATCTGAGGTTTAAAAACATTTAGATTTCCTGTGTGCAAAATATCAGAATTTCATAATAACAGTTGGCCATGTTAGTCATGTGTAAAAGTTGAAAGTTCAAAATAATGTGAAAATAAACATAAAAATTGAAATCTTTTGAATATGACACTATAGACTATAGATTATAGACTATAGACGGAAGTAGACCGGGGGAAACTCGGTAACATAGCCACTGGCCCCACCGCTAAACCAAAATCAGCCAAAGTCAAATGCTTACTTATTAATAATACACAATAATACAAACTCTGTTCTTATTGTTGAATTTCTTCATCCTTTAACTTAAATTTTTAAAAAATGAGGCTATCTAATTAATTCAGTATGAAAAAAAAATCTGTAAATTCGTGTAAAAGAAAAATGAAATACAAAAGTCAATGGTTATATAATATTACAAATACAATAGAAAAGAACTAAAATTTTAATTATTAAATATAATAATATTATATAGTACTACAAAATTTTGTTGTCATTAATATTTCAATTCTAATATGAATACCTTATTATTAAGACCATTCTTTCATAGTTTTTATGGTATTTTTATTATTTAGTATTTATAATAAGTCTACTGATACGTAGTGATACACATTTCACTTGATTAATACAACTTGGTAAACTGACGTGATGTGACGGAGACTGGCTGTAGTGCAGTTGCTTGCTATCCTAAATTCTAATAATATACAAACAAATATTTGGTTCTCTTCGTCTTTATTTTAATTCAATAATCATTATTAATGAAGGCCTAAGATAATTTTTAAAAATAAATATTGAAATGTTAATTACATTTATACGTGAATTCATGCATTATTAATACTCATTTCAACCAATATTATCTTAACGCGGAAAATAATTTAATTCTACCTTTAGCTGTTGTCACTGTCAGCATGCCGCCATTATTGTTGACTAGTTGCTAAGGTAAGAAACGATTTAAAAATGGACAGATTTTTACTATTAGCTAAGTTAAAAAATTTATTTAAAAGATTTGTTTAAGGCATCAAAATGGGGTTTGAAGGGAATTTCATTTTATAATCAGTCATTTTATAATAAATTTTGTAAAATAAATAAAATGAATTCTATTTTTATTATTTATATAATTAAAAAAATATTTTTTACTTGCTTTAAAAAAAAGTATTTTGAATATTTAAAATAGCCAGCTTTAATGTAGTCATTTCTAAAGAAAACAAAATCTGGCTATTTGGCTGCTATGGTCGCGGGTTTTATGAACCTTAATTAATTACAACTGTGGTAATCTCCTTCTCAATACCCATTTACAAATTAATCATTTCGTCTTATTTTGTTCTCAATATTATTTAACAGAGAATATCCAATCACTTAAAAATAACTTTTTATATTTATGCATTTCTTGTCATAATTTTGATTTTTCTTGGTCTCATTTTAACCCAAGTAACAGTAAAAGTAAAGCCAAGCCAAGGTATAAAAGGAGCCCCTTTCCTAAATAAGATCATAAAATTGATATAATTTTTAATCAGGCTTCATGCTTTGTCATTGATATATCTAAGTGAACACCTTTCAGAAGATGAATGCGACAAAGGGGACCAAGCGGACTCTGTTCTGCAATACTAATCGTAATGAATCGTGCCCTAGAAAACTATCAAAGCTTGATCAGCCTGATACTGATCGAAATGAAAGTGCTGTTATATTTAAAAATGGATTGCCAGTACTTCCTCCTATAAAGAACTATGACTTTTCATATGATCCATGGCAGAAGAGCAAGCTTATGACTCACAAGAGAGTGAAAGAACAGAATCGAGTTTTAATGAAATACTTGTAAGTGATAATACAATGTGTATTTCTTATCAGTGTTTGGAATCATGCAGTTGAGTTAGGTAAAGCTGGCTACATGCCAGGCTAAGTCAGCTAAGTGATTTCCTTTGGGCCCTGACCCCAAACCACAAAAACGCCAAAGGAGGTCTTATCCACCTAATCAGTTTGGATCTAGCATATATTTTTTGAAAAGTCTGAGAAACTTAAATGCAAACATCTCTATCATTTATATTCAGGACTGTTTGTGGTTCTATATGAATATGATAGTATTACAGATTCTATTTAAATTTAAGAGTTTTTCAAAATTAATGCAAGGAAACTCATATAGCAAAATAAAATAAGTCTTAGTATCTCAAGCTGGTATTAAAAGTCAGAAACTTACACTTTTAATGGTGTAGCTGGAATTTGAAACTTTGTCTGCTCTGAATAAAAAAATCCTTGTATTTTATAATTTTAAATACACATAGTTATTACTGGTGCAAATGTAGCAACCCACACTGAAACTAGGGCAATCAATATTTACATACAGTTCTAAAGGAGGCTCAGAAGTTTAATGATGTTTTAAAGAGAAATCTTCAGTTTTAATACAACGCAGTAAAGTTATGTTTTAAAAATAAGCCCAATCATAATTAAAATAATTAATGTATTTAAATTTGTGTTAATTTTTTTAATAAAAAGTATTTTAAATTTCATTGACAGCCAGTGCCAAGCATTAAAGGAAGCTAGAGAAGAAAGAATGCGATTTAAACAATTGCAACTAAGAAAAAAACAAGAATGTGAAGTTGAGCCGCCTTTAAGGCCTGAGGTATCTCAGACTGTTTATCATTTAATGCTGACTTATTTATGGAAAGGATCTTTGTGGCTGCTGCTATAAATAAAAATTTCTCAACTTTTCGTAATATATATATACATTTTGACAGAAGATAAAATACTAACTTCAAATTATTCCTTTTATAAGCTTTCTTTACCAAACATCTTTTCATTTGACACATTTTTTATTCTATATCTATAATTTGTCAGAAAAGAGGCTGTTTTATTTTATAAGCCTATATATGAGAATCGCTGTAAAGATTATTGATGTTTTTGAAATCTTTTAAAGGCTTTGTATTAATGACATCTTACGTTTGAGAGTATTGATGATTTTCAAATATTTTTGATTTAGTTCATGCCCTCTGAAGACCATTGCTTAAAGGTGAGTTAAAAAAAAAAAATTAACATCTTTTGTAACTAATATAAGAATATAATATAATAAATACTAATAATTTTATTTTCTATTTCATTTGTATAAAAAAAACCCTCTCTTATTCATTAGTATTTAGTATACTATTGTAGATATTAAACTGTTTTATATCTATTAATGCAATGTTAAGTCCAGTCTTTCTTAACACAGTTTTCTTAAAAGATACATATATATTTATTATTATTAGTGGTCTTATATAGTGCGGTACTTCAGCCTAGGGCTGGGCTCACCGCGCTGTACATAAAAATATTAGCAAAATAGACATAATCATGAAATTAAAATAAAATACATTTATGTAATAAAGAACAGCTGTATAACAACAAAACAAAAACAAATGTATTAATATCAAGCCATGGACAGCAGCCAGCAGCATCATTTATCAGTCAGAAGCGGGGGGGGAATCAGTTGGGGTAGTAGAGTTTAAAGAGATTTGTTTTGAGTGCAGTTTTGAAGGCCTGGGTGGTTGGTATATTGCGGATGTGTAGTGGCAGAGAATTTCATTGTTTGGGGTCGTAGAAAGAGAAAGATCGTTCACCATATATTTTAGTGCGTGTCTTGGGAACAGACAGAATATGTGTGTCTGCGGAGGAGTGAAGCTGTTGAAGCAATGAATAGACAGAAAGAAGTTCGGTTGGATAGAAAGGGTAGGAATCCAAGAAAATGTTGTGACAGAAAACAGACAGCTTGCAATCAATGCATGCATGTATAGGGAGCCAATGAAGTGAGTGGAGTAGTGGAGTGACGTGATCAGCCTGGTGGAAGTAGAACAAGATCCAAAAATGCAGTTATCACATTTTCTCTTAGCCGAAATTGCTAGTTAACAAGAAAAATATCATACATTATTTTAATCTATTATTCACCAGGTTTTCGTCAAATTTTTTTTGAGTAAAAGATTTTTTATATAATATTTGAAAACTGTATTGACATTCACTCAAATCTCTTTATGCCACCTTTTGGCCAGTGTTCATGATAAAAATGTTTGTAAGGCTTGAAGCATTAGTATTAAAATAACCATGGTCATGGAAACAACATTTTGGTAAATGCTGGTTTAGGCTACTAATAACTTTAAACATAAAATTCTCTTTTGAAATGTAGGTCTACTGAATTTAGAATAAAAATTAATTTAGGGGATTCTGGAAAATTTGTGCAGCCCAATGATTACTTGAAATGTACTTTTGTTTATAAAATGTATATCTAATTGTAATACTCCACTTTTCCATAGATGAACTATTTGGCACTAAAGAAATTTATCATGAATACGCCAGTAGCTCCAATGGATCAAACATCACATGACCGTATTGTAAGACTCATACCAGAAAAGCTGCGCACTGGTCCTGTAAAGGAGAAAAAAATTAAAGAACTTTTTGAAGAGGTCAATGTCATGTTTGTGAAAAGTATTGAAATGTCAAACAGTAAGTAAAATGGTCAAAATATTTGTAGAAAATGTGATGTTGATCATGAGACGTTAGTTTGTGTAAGAAAATGTATTTCTTCTTTCATTGTTTCAGAGACAAACATTGACCATAGATGTATAGAGTGTAACATT